CCAAGCAAGGTTAAAGCTAATTTTTTTTTAAATTTTTTTTTCTTTTATCCTTATTCTATTAATCAAGAAGATCAAAAATATAGTTGTAATATTCAATACTGAAAAAAGTATTACTTATATAAAATTCTCTGTTTCATATGTTACAGATTAAATACTATTATATACCCTGTTTAAATCTTATATTATTATAACTTTTGGTTGCTGAGATATTCAAGTGTTAAAAAGGGTCGATTTGTATGGAATACAGAGCTGCGTCGCTGGCTTACATGCGTCGCTCGCTTACCGATTACGATATGGATAAGATCATGGATGAGATAATCCATGTCGGTAGTTATGCACATGTTCCGCCTCTCCGGGTGGATTGGCAGGGTTGAACACCTGACTCACTGGGCGAGGGAAGAAAATATGCCGAAGATCCGAACCCAGTCATATCAAGAGCCCCAAGAGAGAAAGGGTGGAGGAATGACTCAGCTTTATTCGGATCTCACGGCGTCCGAATAACCTTCTTTCGGGGAGGACGGAGGTTTCTTCTCGTCTATCCCACGATCAATCTCCACCTGGTCAATCTTATCAACAGAACTTTGATTGACACAGCCCCTTTAGTCCGAAATGTCCGGTCATCCTTTGACAGCCAACGAAGAGTTGAGGCGACACGACAAGTCAGACGGAACAACTTGTCACATTTTGCTCGGAAGAGGATAGTCGAGTTTTTAGATATGATTATGCTCTCGACCAGTGATCCGCCGGATGATCGCCCATGTGATTTGATTCATCCAGTTGTCTCCGGGCGGTGTGTGCGGGAGTGTGCCGCGTTGATTGATCGGCGTCTTGGGTTTGGGTCTAGATTATCAACTAGTCGGTATAGTCAGCCTAACTATTGGGTCGGTACCTAAACTAGTCCCAGAGCTAAAGAGGGACGGTCGAGGGACACTTGAGTACAGCACCTGGTTAAAGAGGACCTGAGTACCACAAAGTACGGTTTCTGATCTAGAATAAGAGGACTGGAGTATGAACAGGGGTAATGAGTGAGGAAGTATTATCTATATAATATTGCTGATGCTAAGACTATATAATATTTCTATGGAAGGTAAGAGGTAAACGCATCGTTATCGTGAAACATTCAAAACGTATGCACAAGCCACACTATCAAAGAGGGCCAGCAGTGGGGGCGGTAAAACAAATGCCCCATATAAGAGGAGAGTATCCAACAATGCCCAATCACTTAGGCAGTCAGGTCTGAACGCCAGTAAGTCCAGACCATGCAAAGTAGTAAATGCAATATCGCCAAGAAGAAAAAAATTTTCTTGCAGCCCAAACGCCGTATCCGCTGAAGAAATGTATCGCTGAGACCAAACCAAAACGAGCCCAAGAATGTCGGAGGGGTATCATAAGAGGGTATGTACAAACGAAGCAGTCGTCAATCAAGGAGAGAATTTAGTAGGCCTCAATGATCGCATTTTGCTGTTCATTCGAAACGTAATACCGGTCCTCAAATCCACTTCCCGACAGAGGAAGCTCGGTAGCTTGGGCTTCCTTCTCGGAGAAGGTGTTCAGTGTCGGTTGCGGCGGTGACGGGGGCATCGATTCTTCCTCGGACTCTTCGTCGGAATCAGAAGACAGCTCCGGGGGACTCTGCCGGGACGGCGAGCGGGTCAAAGTAAGCTCTTCCAGGTCCTCCGCATCGTCGTATTCGAAGTCTGAGTCAGAATCGGAATCGTAGTCTTCTTCCACCTCTTTCTCGCGGACAATAGCCACCGGTGATGGAGCACGGCGGCGGACAGGAGTGTAGGCGGGTTCATAGTCATCTTCCTCCAAGTCGGAGTCGTCGCTGAGGTCGGAGTCGGAAACATCCTCCGCATCCCAGTCATCTTCGGGATCTTCCACCACGGTTTCCGCCCATTGGATATGGCGAGGCTCGGATTGGGAGCCCTTGGTGACGCCGTGGACGGTCTGGTTGAACCAGCGTTCTTGCTCTTGCTCGGCATCGGCGAGATCGAGCATCAAGGAATCGAGTAGGTTGGCATGACCAACCAGGAGGCGGAGATCATGGTCCGCCCGGGAAGCTTCGCGGGTCAGCTTCTTCCGAGCGGTGTGGGCGAGATAGTATGTTTGAGTGATGCTCATTTTCTTCTGTTGACGCCTCCGGGCAAGAGAAGTAAAGTAGGCGCTGGGGGAGGAAGTTTGATCGGAGGGGGAGAGGGTAGAAGAAGTAGAAGTAGTAGCGAGGAACGTTGTGGGGGAAGAAGAGGACCCCATTGCGCAATCCCCGGACGTTGATGTGCTTATGAGCTCAAAGACTAGTGATGACACGCGGTGACTCAGGCAGACCTACTGCTTCCGGCGATGGCGGTGCGGCCAATGAGCATGTAGCAAAGGAGGCGGTGAGTCAGACTGCAACAAGGCGCCGATCACCCTAAAAGGGATGGATTATCGGAGTACCTTTGTAGATAATCAAGGTAAGGTATTAATCAGGTCCAATATTTGGAACGATGCAAAACGAAAGTACTCTGCTGCGCAGGAGAAAGATAGTACTCGTGTTTTCCTGTTGTCTGGCTGGTAAAAATTTTGCGTCGTCTCCACTGGTTGTCGGTTCAACCACTGAAGTAGGGTTGCAATAGTCAGGATTTAGTGTGGCTGATATTGAGATGCTATCGATATCTTGCAAATGGCTGGCGGTGTGAAACCTCAGGTCAAGATGAAAGGATATCAAACAGGAAATGATTTAGAATTGTCAAGATGGGGGACAATAGGGACTTGATATATCCACTTGGCTCTGGTATGTTTTTAGCCTTTTTTATTTTTTTTTTTTCTAGGCTGATATTTTATACCGAGCTTTTCCATGTGGATTAATCAGAAATTTTTTTTTTCCTTTTTAAAATCGAACAAGTTCCGTGAACCGCGTAAAGTCCGACCGCCGATCGGAACGGAGGAGCCCATAAACCCCATCCGTCCAAAAGATTTTGGGACCCTTTGTCGCCTGTAAGGCAGTCCCTTTCCTCACCGCCTCCACAGCTGCCCAATAATCTCAGCCAGTCCATGAGTCACAGGGACCAATGTTGACCTTTCGGATGACCAATCCTTCCGCCGTTACCTCCGAACCAACCATTTCGAAGTTTCCAGGCATCAAATCATGATCCATCAGTCATAACATAATTTCTTAGCCTAGATTATTCATCCACTAACAACTTCGGTCGGCATCGTTCTAGCCGGTATTAGTGATGATTACTGATTCTTCCAATACGAATGTCCCATATTGGTATGGATTTGAAATCGGAATTAACTTTTCAATCTCTTAACCGTAATTTCTTTCAAGTGATGGCATCATCATATCGCTGATCAATCTCAATCTCCAGGAAGTGTCAGGCATCTCCCCTTGCTCTTTGACGTTGACATGACTCTGGAGTGTCACATTTTTGGAAGCTCTTCCTGGTTTCAGAGTTAACCACTAACGGCGTATCGTCTCGACATACATAAAGAAGAAACAAAGAGAACCCCGAGTACAGCAAGGAAAGCCTGAAGATGCGATGACATTGACCTCGACCGTTCGTTCGTTCCCAGCCGCCCACGTAAGCCTAACGGAAAGAAGTCAGTGAAAGCCTACCGCAATTTGTATCCTTGCTGCCCGTAACCTCCGATAATATACTTCTTACAATCTTAACCTGGTCTCAACACCGCGTATGCGGCTCTCCCCCAGATCCTGATCTCTCTGCCTAACACGTATGCAACGCCGTGACCCCCTTACTGCTGGGAATACGCGGGTCCATCTTGGCATTGCAATGAACGGAAGGGCTGTGTGATGGCTAGTATTTCGTAGGGGTAGTCTTTTAGTTTTCGCATATCGCGGCGCAGTACAATACGAATACGATCTATTCGTTTCCGGTAGGTGACCTACTCTTTTCAGTAATTTATGCCATGTGTCGAGACACGGCCATTGTGGCCTATTTGGTGGACCCATGGGAAGGAACACAGCCCTAGGAATGGGTCGGTTCATGACGGACATGATTTGGTACAAGATCTAAGATATTTGTTATTTGTTCTGCCTATACCTCGTCCAACTTGACTCTATTGTTATCGCTCTGCCTACGCCATGGCGATAATCAATTCGCCGACGTTTGATTATCAAGTTAGCTTTTGACGTTCCCCGTGTTTTGTATCTCGTATTTCCTAAAACTGGGCTAATCAAGTATACAAGTGCTTGTACGAATGGTAACCAACCACGTCAATGACAGATGAATAATCTCAATAATGCAACTTAGCCGCCCTCCTTTGCAGTGGCATCGAATTCTAGTCAACCTGTGTACCTACTACTCACTACTAAAGCAAGGGCATTCTCTTCTACAGGAATGTCCATTGTCGCCGTATCAAGGAGGTCATGACGTCACGATCAGGGACCTTCACAAATGAGCATCTCTTCCATGAACTCCATGTGGCCACTGTGTATAGTCTGGGCAACGGACCTGTCCTGGGTCCTGACATGCTATGCTATCATAAATGAGGTCAACATTGTCATCTAGAACATCAATCTCCAAGTGATTTACCCCGCTCTTCATGGATGATCAGATGTGTAATTATGCTAGGCATAATTACATAAGTCATATATAACTCGTAGACATAAAAAGAGGCTTGATGTTGGTCACGAGCCACAGGTTAAAAGCGAAGGTCGGCGGTCGGGGTTTAGGTCGGCGAAGCCCGTTGTGGGTCCTACACAGCAATAGTGGAGATACATATTCAGCTTGGTCCGATCCATGGATGCCAAAGATTTTCGACGGTGTCATTCACTTCTGATCTAAGTAGACTAATTCTGACTCCGTCGAGAAAAATTTTCAGGACTTAATTTAGTCTCACGCTAATGCAGAACAATAGTGATATAAGGCTTGATAAACGGAACTACACTCCTTTACGGATATAGTATCAACCAATCCCGTTTCCTAAAGCTAGCTCACCGTCCGAGAAAATCTTGACGGAGGCTAGAATCTTGCCTAGATGCTTAATATCATACCACTTTTGATCTGTCGGGCAGTATGGCGACCTTGGTGGTTCTCAAAAACTAAGAACCGGTGACCCTTAGATCCACCGAGATGCCTAGCTCCGTCAGGAATCGTCCAGACGAGAATTCGGATTTGGCTCAGTCCTGACAATATGGATCCCCTCGGTTCTAGGGAAGATCTCCACCGGCGCACCGGCACTGTCCATTCCGATTCATTGGTCACGGGAAAGTATATAGTAGATTTTGCCTCGGGGTTAGCGGATCGCGGTCGATGACTCATGACTATCATCTTCTCAACTTCATTCTCTACGAGAAAATGTACTAAGTGATGTATATTCATTACTTACTACCTTCCTATTATGGTGGACTGCACCAATACGACTCTCGATCTAGATTTTAATTCTCCTTATAATCAACGTGGAGACAGACAATGATTTTGTAACGAGCAGCAAACCTAATGTTGAACTCGTTAAATACCTATGAACGAGCAAACCAGCTTACGGAGGCGGCGAGCTCGGATGATCGAAGTTAACGCCGGCTGAAGACGGGGCCCATTTGAGTTCCATGCTCTACCAAGGAACTTGGTCTGAACGGATCTCGGAACCCAATATCCATGCTTGCTAACATACAATGGGTTTCTTTCGTTCTTTGTTCCAATTCTGTTTTTAAGACGTCTATGATTGGTCGTTGATATACTTGACGATATCAGGTAGCGAATCTTGGCTCTGGGTTAAACAACGATCTTGTGGAATTGATGCGCTGCGATTTCCTGATTCTCTGTACGCGCACCTACGAATCACGCTATTAGAGTGGCCGGTTGTCCTCTTCACTAGGAGGCAGACACTACTGAATACTCCCATGAAATTACCTAGTATCACAGGCGCCTGGCATATGCCTGGTGCCCGAGTGCAGATATTCGTCCTTTTACGGGGGAAAGACCCCAAATCCACCCACGTGGTCGCACATGGCCTGCTACAACTTATTGGGAAATAGTTATGCGCTTTCAGAAAGACCATCTTTGGAAGACTTACAGAAGTTCGCAAATGCAGTGGAGCCCTTGTGCAAGCCTCGAGATAAAGGACCTTCGAGATGCTGCGTCCACTCTTGAGGGGCTGTTTAGTCATAATACAAAAGATACCTTGGAGAGCAGCTTCAGACGTGCATTGTTTGAACAATCCCCCGCAGAGATTCAAGCCTAGATCTTGAAATTCCTTGGCCTGTGCTGGTACTTAATAGTATTTGGCAAGACCTGTCGACTAATCGAGCGATTGCGAGTTGACCGTAGTAGTCAGTGCGAACAGCTTCGCGTAGTTGAAGAACTATACATCACTAGGGTTAGCTATCAAGGCAGCAATTGTATCTCAACAATCAGCAACAGACCTTCCGAATCGAGAACTGGTGATCAGCAGCATCTGAACCTATCATCTAACACCAACAAGATCATCGTCTCGACGGATCATGTTGGGGTACGTGGTATACAATTCCTGGATTGAGATTCAGATCCGTTGCCAGATGGCTCTCCTTGGTATAAATCTTGAAGCCAGTTGACCTCCATCTCAATCTCAATATTAGCTGGAATGTAGGTTTATCTGGATAAACATATATACACAACTAATGTGAGTAGGGCCTTTGCGTTAGAAATTCGTTGTTCTCCCGGATACTCTACATGACAGGTCAAGAGCCTGGAGTTCTCCTTCTCTGCCATCATTCTCATCGTGGAGCTTTTACAATGTTCGTGATGACAGCCGTCTACAATATGCGGAGTTTTGCGTATGACGTCTAAGGTCTTGTTGCTTGCGTTCTCGGTAAAACGTTGGGGATATATCCTATCTCAAATAGCTCCAAACCACCAGGAAGGTGCAAGAGATTGATGAACCGAAGCTCGCGAAAAGGTCACGTCCATTAGTACTACTTTGTTCTACTTTCCGGTCAATGTGGGCGAGCTGATAAAAGCAGCCTGGATCCGGAAGCGGGTGAATGGCTCTCGGTGCCATCTTTACCCCACCTTCGTTGTAAGTACAATTTGGTCGTCCTTCGGCTGTATAGTCTAATTCACAGAATAGATCGAAATATCCTTAGGAAGAATAAAGACTTTTGGATACGTTTGTGCACCCGGCTTCAATAGTGCTTACGAGTTCCATCCCCTAGTTAAGAAGGGCGACGGTGCTATCACGCGGATATTCCATGATGGGCTGGATCTGCCACACAAGATTATCACCGAGATTGGAGTTACTTGCGATTTCCAATCCGATGCTGGGGCTATAGGATAACCACATACTCTTAACCGCTGTGGCCCGCTTCCGAGAGGCACACCGTATACGAAGTGGTGCATGACAAGGCTCCTCTGGGTGGCCTTCTTAAACTGCGGGTCTGTAGAGATCAAGTCAAGTCGTATTGCCCATGCATTGGACTCCTGCTATACTAAGGACACGCCCGCGTTGAATCACTCGGCCAGGTCCGCTGGGATCGTGGCCTGACACATGAGGTTCCTGCGTCCATTTGCATCGCTGACAGCATCGTTCAAGTTAAAATATTTGATAATAGCTACGTTAAAGACGTTTAAAGTGACGCACTTTGCAGCTGGTCTGGTCTTGACACTGGAGTGTGGCAACGGATACCTCATCACGGGACCATCGTGTGGTGGTTTGGCGATAAGGGTGACATGGTTACTATCTATAACGTCTAAAATATCTGAATATTCACTTTGCTTGTTACTGGAAGTTATGCTCGATGTTTAGCAATTAATTCTATCATGCATGGAACGCTTCCAGGCTTCCAGCTAAGGCTAAGGGAACAATAATCGAATCCAGACACCAGGAGGTTAAGAAATACCGGGCCATAACCTGAATGTCCTTCTGGCTTGTCAAAGCAGTGTTGTAAGTCGTAGGTGCAGGTGCCAAAAAGGCTATGTGGTAACAGATGAACTGGTATTTCCTCGCTAAACGCACTTGCCGAAGCCATCACCATAGTCTAACAGCTGAAGAGTGCTTCCAGTTCACTTATAGCATATAACCAGATTGATTGGTCATAAAAAAAAAGCCCACTGACCAAGTAAAGCAAGTACGTTTTATTCTACGCTTCAGGTCTCACCCAACACAACCAGCTTTCCTTCTCACATATCCCGACCATTACTTTTTCAGACCACTCAGGTCAAGTCAAGACACGGTAAAGTCTATCTATCTATCTATCTACTTCCAATAGCTCACCATCATAACCACCATGTCACTTGTCAACACACCCTCCACCCCCCTACTGAGCACATTATGTGAAGACGCCCACAAACACCCATCAAACAAATAGTACGCCGCGACAGTTTCGAGTCACCTTTTGACTAAATACATCTTCCGGAAGAAGAATGGATCCTCGACGTAGAGGGGCACTTCGCATACGACGCGCCAACGGATGGAATTCAGTATAGTCAATTTTGCTGATTTGCTGAAGCGTCCAAACCCGCCCTCCTAACCTTCCACCAGGCGGAGCTTGAATTCGGTGGACCTAGAGGCATCCAAGGTGCTGAGAATTAGGCTGCCGAGGCTTGTCAGGACTTCCTCGAGAGGCCGTGGAACGCTCACGGGCATTCGTGTACGCCATTACTTCAGCACGAAAGGGAAAGTCTGGTTGTATCAGCGAGGTGAGGAGATATTTTGGCTATTCCCGTAAGTCCAAAGAATGGCTGAGTATAACGAGTTGAATTCGCCGCAGGCGGTCGATTTTACAACGCTATTGCATATGCTGAAGTAGGGGTGGGGAATGGCACCCCAAAGCCTATCTCTCCTGTCTAACCTCTTAGTAACCCATTCCCTGAACATATCTTCCCAAGACCCAATAGGTGCAAAGATAAGATCAACCATTCTAAAAATCTGCGGAATAGCATAGTCCAATCGACAGTCTCCGCCTGCGCATACGACGGCCTGCCTTGCGGTTACGTTTATAGGGGTTGGTTCCGGGAGTTGAGTGATGGAAAGCATACACATCATGCACATATCATTATGCTCTGTAGGCCTAGAATAGCACCCGTTTGCACCGCATTGATTGGATCTCTTCCACAACCTGAGATGGTCTCTGCATGAGTGTCGTGTGGGCGGTCACAATATTTCTAACTGGACAACCACCATGAACTGCATGTCCTCGTGCAAGATTGCTGCTCGGAACCGGGTATAAATTATTGCGAGGACAACCCCCCTCGGATCTGTATAGACTTACTGTTAAACCAAAATGACCATTTCAGAATTAGGAAGCGTCAGGTTAATCAGCCGTCGCCATGACCATCTTTGACCTCACTTTTCCTATTTTGACTATTGATATGCGTGTCAAATTGAGCAGTATTTAGTACTCAGATAGATGTAGATATTCAGGAATGCAGACTCTCATGCATGGATTTCCTTGGCCATAGGATTACTAGTGTATTCCGAATACCGCATGCATATATGTCGACACCGACTATTCTTAGCCATCATTCGTTGAAATTAGCCACCAAACAATGTAATTCAGATCATGCATACTCATCCTTCTATATTACTGTCTCATGATCGAGACGTCCTCGAAAATGTTTAGGCTTTCAATTCATCCATAGGCCCCTTTCTCCAATTCCTCGCTGTAGACTTCAGCCACCGCACAGGATGGCCACCACAAGCCAGCCCAAGCTTCCCTAGTAAGAATGCGACCACTTCTATCGCTACACAAGTGGACACAGGCTCTGGGACGAGGAACTGCAACTTCAGGGTAGACACAAAGTCTTCAACCCCACCGCTATCCAGAAAGTGGCAGCTAACAGCGTGGTTTCGAATAACTGCATCTCCATGCAAAGGCTAGCAGAAAGGGGACACAACAAGGTCTTTCGCCTTGAAATGGATGGCATGGCATTCCAAATTCCTGCGCTGGTCCTGCATTTTATACTACAGGTTTGGAGGTTGCTACAGGAAAGCAACTGTGTATGGGATGATCTACCTGCTCACGCACTCTCTAGGCTCGGAAGTATAATACTTCAAAAGCGGTGCTGTGGAAGGTGCTGTCCTGGCAGACATTATCGGCGATGTACCGCGCGAGCTGAAAGAAAAAGTTATCTAATATGTTCACAATCGGACCTTAGGTCGTAAGAGACTTTTGGAAAAAGGAGCGGGCGCAGATGAAAATCAACCGGGGCCCCTGTTCGTCCTTGATCTGTCCTCACCACGCTTCACTATCCCGCCCAGCTAATAAATGGCGCTAGGTTCATCCCCACTAGACTACGCCATCTCTGTAGCCCAGAGAGAGATTGCGTGGATTGGGAAGTACGCCATTCCAAAAGCAACTGACGACCTCCCTTAGCGTCTTCAGCGCGGCAAAATAATCCAGAAGAACATATAAATCTGCTAAAATAGCACCTCACTGTCACACCCTACCTCCTCGACATAGATAACCAACTTACCCTATCTACCCTCTGGTATCAAGATCTCTATTTTTAAATCTATTAGTCGACGGTGAACGGATCTCCGCTGCTATTGACTGACAGGGAAACATGGGCTGGACCCCTCTTCCTCCAAGCGAAGCCATCACCACTGGTTGATTACAAGGGGCCTTTGCCTTTGTTATTAAAACGTCTAGATAATTTTAATACACTTAACGATAAACAGAAGACCCAGATTTAAGAGCAGATTTCAGAGTCAACCCTATCTCAGATCTATCTTCTAGAAACCGAGGAGCGGAATCCAAGACTGGCTGGGACATTTTATTTAAGCCTAAAGAAAACAAGACGTCTACCTTTTGAATTCGCGGGTAGTACATGGGACGATGATGTGTTATCGTTTCGGGAAACTCTTATTAATGTTGAGAGATAGTTGATTGTATTATTTGGAATTAAATTGAGGAATAGTTAATATTTATTTTATTAGATATTAGGAAGGCCTATCGGCGAACAAAGCCTGTCTGACTCACTTTACTTAGGCGGAACTGGAGAGTCATCTACAATCTGCAGAGGGATGGAACACGACCTGTTATCGAATTGACAATCTTGTGAAAAGACACGGGTGGACACATGATGAGACGTATGATGCTGCTCTTGCTTTCTTTTCTAAATTGCGGTCGGTAGGGTTAAGCAATATGAAGGGACAAGACTGGGAAAACTTTGAGAAGGAGACACGGTGGACGGCAAAGTGAGAAATGGAAGGGTATTTTTCCTTTCGTGGTTGGAAGAGAGAAAGGAGCAGGGTTAGATAGGATTATCTTCGTATCTTAATATTTATTGGGAGGGCTGTCTGCACTCCTTGATGTTGTTGGTGCCGTTCTGTTCTGTTCCTGTTATGCTCGTTCAAGAGGTCCTATTCACGGGGGTTGAAAAGGCTATAATTATAACGTTCATTATATTTCCAATACACAGCAAGGACGATGCCTCAGCTTGTGGTGTTCGCAGCACTCGATCCCCTGAATAAGATATACCTATTACTAGCCAGTTTTCTGTTTCAAGTATAATCTTAAACCCTTGAACCGAACTGGGGCAGACAGACATGGCCACAAGAAGTCCAAGGAGTCAAAATAGTCCATTGGCTACGATGTAAACTACACTAAACAGATTGTACATAGAAGCTAACTAGCTCATCTGAACAATTCCGCCAACACCACAATTATAAACAACCTAAACACATCAGCCCAGCAGAATAGACATTAAGCATAACAACTCAAGCTACCCATTAATAAAAAGTAAGCATAATGGCCTGATCTCCACTTCTAGAGTCGCCTACTATTGCAGCGCGCTAGGTCGTCAACTAGGATGTCAGCTAAATAAAGCCAGTCATGCGACCCACAATAGACAGGGCACATTTATTTCTCCCAAGCCGATAACCTCATCTCATTCACTTTCTGAGAACTCCGACCCCTAAATTATCAGACTGCTATACCCGATAACCTTGCGATCATACACCGTGTTGTCCTATATGATGACGAACGGTGTCAGGCTGATGGACGATGATTTCTCCGTGGCGGGCTTAGGGATATGCCGACGGAGTGCCCTAATCGCCGGGGAATTTGCCGAGTCCGGGAATTTGCCGATCTGGATTTATATGTCGATTTGGACGAGAGTGGTAGGTTTTGGGATGCTTGTTTAGATGGCGAGATTGTTTTGATTTTGAGTATAATCTGGAAAAGGCATACTGTCGCTAACTGATAAATATAGACGCGTCGGGGAATTTGAGAAAGGAGGTCGGGATTTTGCTGCGTTCTATTATCGTTATCGCGCCGATAATCTGCGAGAAGGTGGATCCGTCCTATACTCCACGGAGACTCCGCGGAGCAGGATCAAGTATATCTTACGTCTGGTATATTTTGACATGTTGGTAATCCTGTTGGACTACTATATAGCCACGCTGACCTGGGATTAGAAAGGACGATAGGGCTTAGACTGGATCATCTATCCATGGTGACGAAAGGTACGTACCATTTACTCTACCTGACTGGTCCAGGTGTGACACAATCACATAGGTCATATATTCGCCTACAGCTGACAACAAACCTATTGGCATACAAAGTGACAAAACTAACACAAAGCAGGCATCCTCCTAGCCTTATCAGCAGTAGTAGTTACCAAGGCCGCCACAATGCCCTCCGACCAAACAAAACTAATCGGCAAAGCCCTCGGATTCTTCCTCCCCTACCTAGGCAGAGCCACCGTCCAACGTGTAGCCGCCATATGCCACAGCTGGACCTGGAAAGACACACCAGACTCCAAGAACGTAGTGGTACTAGGCGGCTCCTTCGCAGGAATCCAACTAGTGAAACGGCTCACCGAAACCCTACCAACGGGGTACAAGGCGGTATGGATCGAGAAGAACTCACATCTGAACTACCTGTTCAACTTCCCCCGTTTCTCCGTGATGCAGGGGCACGAGCACATGGCTTTCATCCCGTATGATGGGATCGTGCGGGCTGCGCCAGATGGTATTCTCACGCGCGTGCATGATACGGCTGTGGAAATTACGGAGAATCAAGTTTTGCTTGCATTGGGACAGAAGATCGACTATGCGTATCTTGCGATCGCGACGGGGTCCTCGCAGCCACTCCCTGTTAATGTTGCCGCTACGGAGCGGGAGGACGGGTGTCAGGAGTTGCAGGGCGTGCAGGAGGTTATCAAAGCCAGTGAGAAGATTGCGGTTGTGGGTGGGGGAGCTGTGGGCGTTGAGTTGGCGAGTGATATCAAGGACTTTTATCCGGGGAAGGACGTGACCTTGATTCATTCGCGCGGGCAGCTGATGAGCCATTTTGGGAAGCGGTTGCAGGATTATACGTTGAGTGCGTTGCGGGAGGAGCTTAAGATCCGCGTTATGTTGAATGAGAGGCCTAAGTTGCCTGGGGGAGGGAGTATGGCTCGATCGGCGACGCTGGTTTTCTCGGATGGGCATGAGGAGCAGTTTGACCTTGTCGTGAGTGATCCGTTCTGTTTGTCATTGTTTTTTTGGTAGATGGTTTCCTAACGGAAAGACTAGATAGGTTGTACTGGACAGCAACCCAACTCGGCCGTTCTGGCATCTTTGATCCCTAGCGCCATTTCAAAAGAGACCTCTCGCATCCTTGTTCAGCCAACGCTTCAAGTGCTTGCAAAAGATGAACCGGACCGCAACCCACCCATCTTCGCCTTCGGCGACGTGGCCGAACACGGTGGCCCTCACATGGCACGCGCCGGCTGGCTACAGTCTGAGGTGGTGCTGGACAATATCCTGGCCATGATCCACGGGCAGACGCCGTCACGGACGTATACGCCTAATGTCTTCCTGGAGGGTGCTATCAAGCTGACGCTGGGAAAGAAGCACAATGTCGTCTATGCGATGGAGGCCGACGGGTCTGATGTCATGGTGCCTTCGAGAGATGGACGACTCGACCTGGGGATTGAGCGGGGGTGGAGAGAATTCGGGGCTGATTTCAAGCAGGCAAATGCTCCTGATGCAGAGCGGCAGGGGGAATCTGTTAGCGGTGCTTGAGAGATGTGCGAAGCGCTATGTCACTTGTGATCTGGTGCTAGGAAGTATAGTTTCACAGAAACAAGTTGTATTAGTAGAAGTCACACCTAGAAAAAATTTGGACCCGTGATAGATTGGAGAAATAACTCCTGGGTGCTTAGCGGCATGTATTAAAAGCCGAGAGATGACAGCATTAGGATCAGCACCTTTATGCTTTGAGTTGTTCTTGCCCTATGCCTCTTTGCCATCACTTATAAGGTCATCATTGATATGGCACCAGGGCTGATTCCAGAAAAAAAAAACTGTCCAAATCTTTAATGTTCTATATAGGATTAAGATCCTCTAATATAAAGGGAAGGCCATTTACAAATAATTTGGCGTATATAAGATGGGCTAAACCCACAAGCAATCTATATTAACGTGATGAGAATCCACTGTTCCCCATTATCCTGCCACCCAAATCATGTGCTTTATATATCTAAATCACGCTCCTTGTATTTGTTTTATGGTCATTTGACCTTGTCGTCGTTGGTTTATAGTAAACTGAAACAAAGCGGGGTTAGGCAGCTATGCGTTCAGCCCACGCTCTTGCAAGCTGGACAAAGAGCGAGCGATATATATATATTACAGTATATTGCTCAGAGATTTCTGAGTACTCTTCACGCGACAGGCCGGACAGGGAGGATCACGGGGCTATTTTGGATCTTATCTCTAGGTGAGAAACCGGATAATGGGTATTGGTAGGCCTCGTCATTAACATCACTTTAGCCCTTCATCTCAACTCAGATTACAGCGATCTAGAGATCACTTGCGGCGGGAAAAGTTTCCCAGCCCATAGGCTCGTCGTTTGCCCTAGGTCTGAATATTTCAAAAGGGCTTGTAATGGAAAACTCAAGGCACCAGTAATCCACCCTCTAATAGCCCGGTGGACTGAGACTGTCACGCCACTGTGGGACCAGGGGGCTGAAGAGTCAATAATTAATCTAAACGACAAAAGCCCGGTCCTAGTTGAGAAGGTGCTAGAATTTCTCTACACAGGAAATTACACTATCGGACACCATACGCTTGAAGAGGAAGATCCAAAGTTCGATGGCAATGGAGGACTGGAGAAGGATACAGAGCATGCAGGAGAGTCTTCGATAAATGATACATCAGGAGAACATGCATCAGAAATACACGACATCAGCAATGAACATGGCCTAGAGAATACCGCGCTGGGATTTGTGGATGGAACGTCACCAAATGAGAAGCGCACTCTAATTGACGAGCTTTTTTGAAAAGGACCCAAACGACCAAGAGGATTTCGTGGAGTCCATTGTTGATACTTTACCTGGTTTTCACCCATGCTACTTCCACATGCGCATGTATGGTGAAGCGGATTATTTTATGATTAGCGATCTAAAAGCCAGAGCAAAGAGCAATTTCGCACATCTCTCATGGATTGCCCCGATGGGAACTTCTTTGCAAGAGTAATCCTGGGACTCTACTCGAAAAGAGCAAACTATCAGGAACTGAGGACTGGCAATGGACGTGGTTGTTGATAACTTGTCGGACCTTCGAAAAGGAATTAGTCCGGTGGTTAACCCTGAACTCCTGAAAGAAATTCCTGAATTTGCTATTGATCTATGCCTTGCAACCATGGATAAGTATGTGAGTGAGCCGCCCAACATGAATCCACATTGGCCCCCTACAGGTATTAGATACAGGGGGCGCTGGCGTTATGTTTGGATCTACAAACTAGTGAGGATGGTTGTAGTAGAGCACTAGCGAAGGTGGTAGCAATATATGGTTCTAATTCATCTAATTTTATTCAGTTAGCTAAGTAGACACCCTTCTTAGAACTTAGTTCTGCTCTCGCTTCACGGCTCGCCATCGTGAGGTACATATACGAGTTTGGCGTCAATTGTGAACGTAGTCAAGTCGACACAGGGTATTCGGTTGAGGTATTGTTCTGGAAAGGTAATGAAATTATAATGGACCTGGCTATGCTAGGATATTGCTGCTCAAGAAGAGCAACATATTCCAGGATTATGTACTGCAAAAGTGCACAGAGATGTACTCATTTGCGAGGCGTGAGAGTATAGTAATAGACGAGGAACAGAATGATGCTTTCTCCCGTTTATTCGTTGTAGAGTATCATCCATCTGGCAATGGGGGTTTGGAAAGGTTTCCCTGGTTTCTTGATGACAAAGACACGGAGAGTAGCAGTATCAATGACGACCTTCATTCCATGATTAGTGTCTAGTTACACGAAGAAAGATGCAGGATCTGCGTGAGGTTTGCCTACCCATCTATATGTATGGCACTGGTATTCATGCTGAGTGGTGATTAGTCTGCTCTATCTTATCCTTGTTAGATATACACACTTAAAGATCAAGAAAAAGTAGTAACATGCGGGGGCTCGATTCAAGGGTATTATCTACTCGCATCCCGACTAGAATGTCAAGAGGCACTATGCAAGCACTAAGGACTGCAGCCGCGCAATCCTGAAGATGAAACACAATATCAGGTCTATAAGAAGCTCTTAAAACCTATTTCCCCTCTCTACGCTTTCATCTATTTTCTTTCCTATTGCTAGCTTTGTCTGAAGTATGATCGCAGCTATCGAGGCCGGTCTTGATGTACCTGATTTTCATCACATCTCCCATATCACACCCTAGACTGCTGATCTCCTGAGCCATCGGATCTAGGTAGGTGAGGGTCTTGCCAGAGATCAGGCAGGAAACTTAGCTCCATACCATAAGAGCTTAGGAGGAGGAGAACGCTCTGCTCCACATTTGGATCACATGATGGACTTCCCGTACCTGTAACCGGCAAATTACCGGATGCGTTGGGAAGTGATGAATACAAGCTGTGTCCATTGGCGCTGGCTGTAGCTGGAGGGTGAACTGGGGACTCTTGGGGTTTATTTTGAAATGCAGTTTTTGCATTGTTGACAGCCCGGAGTGCAACTTGATAATACAGCCGAGTGATATGATAAGCAACGGCAGTTTCATATGACGGATCGTGTTGCTCGAAAAAACTGACTACTGAACCTAGCAGTTGTAGATCATCAAGGGCTTGAGGCTTTGTTTTGTTTTCGAGTATGTTGATGAGTAGGATGTCGACATTCCATGCCACATGGTAAAGCAGATATCTGCGGAAAGATTAATATCCTCCTTGCAGTGACGGGTTAAGTTCGGACCTTGCTTCTTACATAGTGAAAGGGTGGCGTTTCTCGTGGTAGTTTAGTAATGAGATTGAAGCCCGTGCAGCGCTAACACATAATGAGACGCTGGAGATGATGAGATTGTTTTCTTCGCATTCATGTGGAAGTGGAGCGGCTCTGCTGAATACCGCAGAGTGAATAGATACTAGCAGTTGGAAGTAACAGAAATGAAGCACCGTCAAAGTCATCAGGCTCTGTTCATCTAAACCAGCTAGTGGAGTCTGAGGTTGAGCCATGTCAGGGATATTTTGTCTCCAGTTCTGTAACTCGACATCGAGCTCCATTACACTAGCATAGAGCTGTTCGGTAGATTGCGCAGAAGCTTGCGTTGAGCGGAGCTTTTGATAGACCTTCTGTTGAATACTGGCTAGGATAACCTGTTCACGAAGATAGTTCATCGTAGAGCCATCATCCAACGTCAGGGTATTGAGCCCATCTTCCGGATTTTCCTCTGGTAGACAGGGAAGCATGTCAGTCGTAAGGGATGCTGGCTTTGTAAGGTACATAGACAGATCTTGGTCGAAGATAAATGCGTAGTAAAGCAGCCGTCGTTCATGCAAAGCCGTTGACGTAGTATCAGACGTCGTTCTATGGTGATAGCCAGCCATGATAATCGACTGAATGGCCGCTCCCAAGATGGTGGCTGCAGGGTGATTTCTCGAAGTATACACAAGATGCATAGCCTAGAAAGAATTAGCAATCAAGCCGTCCTTGTAGGAAAGTGCATAAAGACCATGGAAAGTATTGTAGCGATAGTGTTCTTATTAGGTCTCTGCATTATCATGATAGAGAGGATGTTCATAGCATTGTCAAAGTACTTTTCAGCCTCGATAGCTCGCATGTTGTGGAACTTGCGCAGGGAATGAGCTACAATCATATTAAGCGCCGCATATGAAGTCGCATCCAAAAAGGGTTGGCCTTGGAGATGCCTTTGGAGGATTTCAGTCATGTAATCATCTTCAAAAAAGTGAAGGCACCTGTTATAGGTCGTGGAAAATTCTATTGTGTATTAGAGTGTTGGACACACTTTTAGAAATGAACGGAGACAAATACCTTTGAAGCATGCAGCAACCATATCATGGGGGGGCAATGGATGATCCACACGCCCTTCAAAGCTTCCAGTGGGAGGATTCCTTGGTATCTTCAGGTGGGATAAGAGAAGACTGAAGCTTTCATCTCCAACTAATGCATTTACCCAGCGGATGCCTTCGGGAGAAAGGATGGAACATGACCCTGTAGTGTCGATCTTTGGTAAGCTAATATTGATGTGGCTTATTCTCACCCCGGAGCTATACATACCTATACACAATCGCTCTCCACTCCTATCCTTTACGTCAAGTGATATTGATCTGTCCTGATGGGAGGAGAGGTTTATTCTTAATTGAGGCTGAGTGGAGGGAGGGGACGATCCCCCGTGCTCCCGATTGAACTGGGAAGTTCGGGCATGGAGATATTCACGCCTCATTTGGCTAGTGGGAAGACGCATTGACTCCTCGATTAAACGCTCCATGTTCTCCAAGCGCTGAGTAAGAGCGCGATAGGACCTATATTGCGAGTGAGAAAATCGCCCTTGCTACTTGATCGATATAGTACATTTTATGGCATGATGTCCGTTGTCTGACATTACTGTATTGGCAGTTGTCCCCTCGTTCTGTACACCTGGCACAGCAAGGTCGATTGCCGTCGCATCTAACCTGGAGCCTCTTGAAATTTAGAGCCGTGCGCTCGCATCGCGAATCCTAAGAAAGCATACCTTCCGAGTCCGGCATGGAATGCAAGCCCACCGGGACTTTGTATCCCCTTCCGAGTTTGAATTCTGCATTGTTTTCTGGATTCAACCCTGGCGTTCGGGGTGAAGTTGCAGATTCAAAGGAAGCATTTATGATATTAAATTCGGACATTTTCGACACCGATCACCTGACTGGGCTCCACTAGGCAGCGTTTAGGCATGCCATGTTCAGTATATACTGATGGCAAGATAGTCGCGAAAAGGAACTTGGGAGATATTCGCCCGCAAAGAGCTATAATGCTACTAACCCGCCAAGTTCCATACGGTGCTTTTGGTTTCAATATCACGTTTTCCCTTTGTTTTACAACAGAAGGCTTCGGGTATCATCGTTATCTCCGACCTATCTCCGGGAGGTTTAGCATCTCCGAATCAAACTTATGAGAATGAGTGTTTGACAATGACTCTAGCTCGCAGCCTTAGCTCTAATTCTACCTTGTCTAACGATCCCCCAGTGGATACGATGGGTTTCATATCAATATCCTCGACGATCACGTCCAACATCGCGGGACCCTCACAGTTCAGCAGCCACTCCATATTTTCAGGGAGCGTATCCAACCTGAAGCACTGACGCCCTTGACACCCCGTACTTTGCGCCAGTCGTACAAAATCCGGATTAGCCTGTCGGGGATGACACACGCACCCGTTGTAATTTTTCTGCTGCAACTGTGTGATCATTGCCTGCTGACGGTTGTTAAACAAAACAACTTTAACAGGGATGTCATACTGTGACGCGGTAAGAAGTTCTTCTATAGTCATGCATAGAGATGCATCACCGTCCACATCGATCACTAAATGGTCAGGCTTAGCGAGATGGGCTCCAATTGCGGCTGGAAGACCGAATTCCATAGCGCCTAGACTGCCTGATGTGATTAGAGAGCGTGAATATCTCCAACGGTATCGCTGAGCCGCCCACATCTGGGGTTGTCCGACTCCAGCGGTGAGGATGGTGCGGTGCTTGATGGTTTCTATCTGGTGGCCCAGCTCTGTTAAAATTTGTTGTGGGAGGCTGTACTGCTGCGGTTCTTTGGTATTGGGGATACGTAATGAGTACTCAGCCTTCCAGTGCTGGATTTGTGACAACCATTCTGCCCGATCATGCCTTACTAGTTGAGGGAGGAGTATTTGCAAGGTTACGGATAAGTCTCCGATAGCGAGATCCGTTGGGTGTATGTCTTTTCCCACGGTATCCGCATTGATATCAAGCTGTACGATGCTACGCGCTTTCGGGGCAAACTCGGTGGCCTTGCCCGTCGCTCGCTCGTCTAACCGCGCCCCGATTGCGATAATAATGTCGACATTTTAGACAGCGTACAGTTGGCATATGGAGTTCCATAGGTGCCCATCATGTGTAAGGCTAGATTGTGAGTCTCGTCGAAGCTTCCTAGGCCAAGGAGAGTGGTAGCCACGGGAATGCAAGCTTGCTCTGCGACTTGCGATAACAACGCTGGCCCATCATAACTCGAGTGGACCCCGTTCCCAGCACATGTGACAGGGCGTTGAGATTGATTGATTAACTTTACAACGCGGTCGGCCTGGTCATTGAGATCCACAATGTAATGGGCAAGAGGTGAGTAAGTGTGTTGTTAGATGCTACCCGCCACTGGAATGTTGAAGGAATCCTCGAGAGCCCTATCATCAAATACTGCTTTCCCTACATCCTTGGGGACTGCAACGAGGACAGGACCGGGGCGCTTGTCCAACGCCGATGGCTCCGGGAAGACTAGCGACAGTGTCCACACAGGTACACCACCTTGTGCACGATTGAGCTAAAGAGACGACATAAATCTCTTGAAATGCGCCTGTACCCTGGATCGTTGGGGCGGCCTGGCCGCAGATCACTGCCATTGGAGTCCCATCCAGTAACGCATCCAACATGGGCGTCACTACATTTGAGGTTCCCGGTCCATAGATGTCACCAATACGATCCCTGCGTTTCCTAGACTTACATTCCGAGTCCTTCCCGCGCAATCCGAACCACAAGAGTCTTTAGCAGACCTGGCGAAACGACAAACTATGCAGACGGTGAAGTCTATGCGGGGAGTGATGGTCGGGTTCTGGTCACCTAAATTTACGAGTAGGTTTAGTGTGCCAGGCTTTCATCTGCATTTCATCTCCGATGATCGGACGATGGGGGGCCATGTTTTGGACTTTTGAGGCGGAGGTGGTGGATGTGAAGGCTGGCTGTTGTCTCTGATTTCCGGGTTGTGTTGCCGTTCGAGGGGAAGCTTCAGGACGAGGTCATTGGGGGAAGTTAGGGAGGGGAATTTTTCAGAAAGCTGAGGGGATGGGGTATTAAACAAGTTAGATGGTTATGGTTATATATGAGTGCTTTTGGATTAAAATATAATCTCGTGACTAGAAAATGGAGTATGTAATCATCAAACTCGGACAAGATCACATATAGATCGTCGAATTCCAAGACACCCTCACCTCATATAACCCCAAGATTCCTCCCCAAACACCATAAAGGTCTATGATATAATAAAAACCAACCCCCACCCCCTAAAACCTCATACATCGCTCCCATCGGCCTCTCTCTGCCCCTCCCCCCCAACCTCCCCATGCAGCAAAAAATTCCCAATCCCCGAACTCTTCCTCTTCAACCACTTCTTCCACCACCACTCCCCCTGCTGATGCACATCACACGGCAAGAGAATAGCATGATCCAACGCATGCGGCAACCCCCTATGCCGCCCCCTAACCTGCATAGCAATAACAATCAACTTACTAACGGGATTAAACTCCGCACTCAAACTCGTCTGAGTAGCCGGATACCCCAACGACAGTCCCACCGTCCCATAGGCAGACACAATCTCGAAAAGCAGCGGAAAGAGCGAAAACGCGACATCCTGGCCATGCGTTTGCTGGATGCGTTTCCCCTCTGTTACGCTTATCAAAAAGAACCCGAGCATCACGTACCACAGGTCGAAGCCTAGTTGGCGTTGGATGTGGGAGGCCAGGCTGTGCGGGTTTGGTTTGTCTTCGTCGTCGTAGATCCCTAGGGATTTTTCTTCGTAGACGTTTGTTTTGCGGATTGCGATTGCGATGGGGAAGGCCGATATGTACATCATTACTACGAAGGAGACTTGGACGGCTGGGTGTAGGGCTCCCAGGGTGGTTATGGAGAAGCCGGCGGTGCGGGTGGAGGCGATTTGGAAGAGGCCGTCTACGAGGCGGAGGCCTGGGGAGAAGGGGTTTGTTTGGGGGTTCTGATGTGGAGGGGGGTTGGGTCAGTTTGGTTTGTGGGATGGGGTGGATTGGGGACTTACTTCTTGGAGGGTGTAGAAGACCATGAGGTCTAGGGCGTTCATGAGGAGGAGGACGCCTGCTAGGCGCCAGGTTTCAGGGCCCGGGAAGAGCATGGTAAAGCAGCGTCGGGGGTGTTCGAGGAGGTAGTGTAGTTCGTCGTCTAGGGGGGAGCCGTATCTTGTGGATTTGGAGAGGAGCCAGATAATGAAGCGGAGCATGCATGGGAAGCCGGTGTTTCCGATCACCACTAGGAAGGTCATGACCAGGAGGGGGAATGCGGCGTCTCGGAATGAGGCCATTGAGTCTGGGCTTAGAGTATATCCTAGGTCGTGGAAGGCAGAACCGGCAGTGAATACTGCCCACCATGGTCGATTCAAGCCCATATCTTTGACCATCTGGCCGTATTTTGAATCGGCCATGATCCATGGAATGAACAGTACGACGCCGAGAAGATGAAAGGCCACGAAGTAGCAGACCAGGATAACCATGAGGGTTTTCAGCGCCCTGTATTCGATTCCTCCCAGCTCGTCCTTCTGGTCTTCGTCCCAGTCAGAGTAGCTCGCAATCGAATGCTGCCACATTAGAGAGGGCAGGGCAGGCATAGTGGGGCCGTCTAGTGGGGGAAAAGCTTCGTTTATAGCCTCTGTGAACGAGCGACGACGGGAGAAAGAGGATCGTCGCTTCTGTCTTGCTTCATAATCTCTGTCGGACTCGAAAAACGTAATCCGTGGGCTTGTGGGGCCGATGGCAGCTGGCTTGAATGTTTGGTAGCCCCCAGAAGATTGCTCATCGCGTGTATGGGGCGATGTCCTCGGGGATATGCCGTCGTCTGAGCTTGGAAGTAAGGGTTGCTCTTCATCTTCCCCGTCCGACTCAAATACAGTGGTAGTGGCATTACTAGTATCGGTGGTAGTCCTGTTCAGCCCTATTGGCCTCCGTGCCTCATGCTCGAGACTTTGATTCATTCGTTGTCGTTGGCTGTGGCATACCGCCTTGGCGTCCCGGATAGCGCTCTTGAAGCGCTTTCGGAACCAATAGATTCTGATCAGAACAAGCAATGAATGAAGGAACACGACATTTGTGACCATCGGGACGAGCCATAGCGTTATCTGCTGCGAAAGACGCAGGTCTTTCAGGTCGATGGGGTTTAGCCCGGTCTGGGTGGCGGCGCCAGAGGCGAGAAATAAGGCATCGATGAAGCTTAACCCGCCCGGAATGTAGAGAGCAATTGAAGCTATGAAGACCCAGACGATGATGTAGAAGTAGTGATGGCGAAGACGTAGGGGAGAAGAATCGGCCTGGGCCTCATAGTACGGGGGCATCGATGGAGGGAGGGTTCGTCGAGATAGACCCTAATGGTCTGCGGCAGCAGCGTAAACAAGGAGGGAGAAGATTCACGGTCCTGGCAGTGGGCGAGCGAAGTGGCATTGTTGAATTAAATACGGCAGGATCATCGTGAGGTGAGGAGTTCGACTGCTGAGTGGCTGCGGAAGACCTGAGAAATGCCTCATTCTGACGGCTTCGACGATTGCGGTCTGTCCTGTTTCCGTAGCCCTAAGGAAAGACTTCATGTAAAATCCAGCTCCTGCGGGTCTTTTATAGGCTGGGTCTACTGAATCCCAGACTTTGGAGAGGTTTAATTGGTAAGAATCCTGACGCAATTGTGCGACATGGTCAGGGAGGCAGGAATCGAAGGGAGGCGACGCCTTAGGGTTGGGCCAATGATTGCTCCGTTTAATCGCTCATTTCCCGCCATTGACATCAACGATTTGCCCACGGACCCAAAGTTCGACAACCTTATTCCTTTTAAGCATCGGAACGGGATACAAACATTCTTCCGAGGAGAATACTCTGTATAATTGGGTAGTCAGCTCAAAATCAAGTTGAATTTACCTATATGACATTGTCCAATGTTAAGTTCATATTTACGTATTTTCGAATTTTGATAACTTTATTAAAACTTTAATTTTTAGTTTCAATTCATTCTCAGTGGCTTTTGGGCCAGTACTTCACCACCACTTGGTAAGCCATTGGTCTAGTTATATTGCAGGCGCATGAGTAGCCCTGCAGCCACGTGATCCAGGCTGCCGTTAGTTCCTTTGTCTAGGCTCTTATATGGAGGCCCCATATCCCCATCACATCGTTCTTCAGGAGTCTCCACCTGATTTTCTCCCGTGACGCCATGGGCTTCCTCAAGACGTGTTGCAGCTTCTGGTTCCTTGCCAGAGGTTGTACGTGAACTGTGGAACGCCCTGAATATATTCAGATGGGTTTGGAAAGGCGACAGGGCGCTCATCGCGCACTGGGAATGCGAGTACAAGAAAAACCGACATGGTGGACACTCAGAAAACAGTAGGGACGAGGGCGCTGCGTATAAGGTCGCAGGGACTATCTTCTCAGGTTGACTACCACGGACGAACTCCATACCTTCTTTGAAGAGCTGTATTGCATCAGTCCTAGACCTCTGGGAGATAGGGCCACGAGCTCCCAGTTTCCTAACACAGAAGCTATTTTCTCGTGTGATGCAAGATGCAAATTGCAAAATGAGCTACTGCATGTTATAATTGGAACAACTCAGCACAGATTGGGTTCTTTGACAAGATGAACTATCTTATTATAGGGCTGATCAGTTTGATATAGTTTTCACTGTGCTAAAATCATTATCGTATCCGTTCATTACATGCTTCTCGCATATGTACCCTTCGATTATCGTGTGAGACTGAATCTCAAACACTCTGCATACTGTCCTAATGGTGCGCCTACATAAGCGATATGCGGCTATCAACTCGTTCACATTCGTCTGTTTCTAAGAGAGGTTGCAAATTCCCTGCTTCAGAATACGAAGGGGCTAAACCTAAGCTGGAAAGGTCATGGATAGCCCCACTGTAGATCCACAAAACCGCAAGCGCAAACGCTCTATGCGGTCAACTTATTGCCTCAATAAGGCCACTAACGTACAGCGGCACAGACACTCACATGGCGGCGAGGGACCGAACGCTACTGTAATATGTCTGACAGCATCCATTCCAAGTTAAAACCCCGAAGCGCAGTTTTAGAATGGCACCGAGCCGTGATGCTGAGCTAGAGCTTGTCCTCAAGCCGGAGTTGCTGCAGGGCATGAGTACTTGGACCCTACTTGATGATCTCCCGTCGTATCACCATCTAGTACTTCCTATTATCCAAGGTACGGTACCTGGACCTACCCTACCCTACGCCAGAATACGTGCGTAACGTTCAGCCTTTTAAATCCCGTCGCCTAGGCCACAATGTCCTGGCCCAAGGTCCATTCCATCTCAAACGGATGTACCTCTTGGTTTCCGCCCTTCAACGCATCAGCACGGGTGCTATGCCTGTCGCTCAGTCCCAATGCCAGGCTCTAATCGTGTGTCCTACGTTTGAGTTGGCATGGACGGTGAAGGGTATCGCCAAAATGCTTGCCTCTGCAATGCCGTCAGTGGAAATCTATTGCTGCCCTAGAGGGTTCCATGACGCCCAGGATAAAATTGACGAGCTCCAAGGGTCTGGGACGGGGCGGGTCCCCGATATAGTCGTGGGCACGGCTGGTAGGATCTGGGAGTGTATTACTCGTGGATGGTTGAAGACGGATACTGTGACAATGCTTGTCTTTGAGGGTATGGACGATATCATGAATCTCGGATACGATGAGTCTGTTCTGCAAGGGATCCTTGACACGGTCGCCCCGGGCGGCACGCAACTCGTGGTGCAGTCCGACTCCTTGCATGTGTGGAGGAGCATTTGGAAGCTGGTGGGCGGCTTTATGCCTTCCCCTGTCCGGATGTGGAATATCTAGATAGACCCATCATGGAAACCACATCCATTTTTGCCGACATGAGTATGATTCTGAGCTTGGCCATATCATGTCCTGCTACAGTGGATCTAGTTAAATGTAGGTTGCTGAAGGAAAAGAAAAAGAAAGGTTCTCCACCCTACGGGGAGACTGTAGCATAGAACCAAGAAACCACGCAATACCTACAATTACCACCTAGACAATCTGGGGTACCAGATATGAAGTAAACGCACCCCACGTCCATGTACTTGGCATGATATGTACTCCGGAGCTTCTTCCCCGCAGCAGTCTTTGTTGATCAACCTTGGCGAGTTCCTATTCTGGTAATCCGTCATCTATCCCAGCACTCATCTTGTCCCGAATTATACCGGTCTTACTCTCCGGTGCTTTGGACTTTGCTGTTGTGAAGTCTGTTATAAAGACGTCAGGCAACCTTTTGGAGCTAGATTACTGCGTCTAGCATTGAGTCAGTGGTCGTTCTACAGCAGTTATGCCGAAGAATGCCTAGGATAGGCTACACTGATGTGGACAAGGATAACGAAAATCTGGTGTAATCGTGGCATAGACAACTTCATTAATCTTCACGTCATAGTCAGAGTTTAACTAGTGGAGTAACATCATCATCATCATCATCATCATCATACGGTGCCAAGCTAAATCTTTTCTATCTTCTCAACCCTCTCTTCCGTAGCCTTTTGCTCTAGCTCATGGCCCTTCTCAACGTCAAGGTCCTTCTGGGGCCCGCCCTCTTCCACACCGGCAACGGCGGTCTCGAATCTACGACCACGCTTCTCCGGGCCAAACGCAGTGGTCACTATGATTCCGGTCGCGATGATAGCCGTGGCCACGCCCATGGTTGGCCCATACGCCGGGGCAGGCTTCCCGGTTGTGCCAGTGATAAAGGTCTTCTCCGCGATGGCGTTGACAATCTGTGCAGAAGGGGACGAGATCATGTTGCCAAGTTGATACGTAATACCTACATCATGTTAGATCTTCATACAAAGAAATGGAGCCATATCATACGCACCTGGGAAGGATGACCGGAAGGCCGGTGGGGAAAGCTCATTCAGATGAATCGGGATAACACCCCAAGCACCCTGGACGAAGAATTGCATGAAGAATCCGGAGGCGCTCAAGGACCGTTCGCCCTCAGGAAGGATCCAGGCTGGAATCAGAACACCAGAAATGAATGCGGAGACAATAATAGCTCGACGGCGACCGAAGAACTGGGACAGGTATCCGATAATGGTGCCACCAACGCAAGCGCCAGTCTTCATGAGGATGGAAGCACGGGAAGCGCCGGAATTCTCCATGCCCTTCTGTGTCAACATGAACGTGGTGTAGGAGTCTTGTGAGGTGTGGGAATAATAGTTGAACTGGAATCATCAGTGGTTTTTTTCTTTCTTTCTTTCTTTCTTCTTGGGTCTGTTCGTTGGTTAAGGTAGAATACTCACCCAAGTCATGAGAATAATCGCGTAGATGCACATTTTCCACTCCTGGCCGAGCATAACCTTTGTTTCCTGCCAAAATGCCCCTGCACTTTTGGATTTCTTGCCGGCCTTCTTAGCTTCGAGGAACTGCTTAGACTCAGGGAAAGCGATTCGGATCAGGCCGACACCAATTGAGATACCAGCTAAATCATGGTCAGTCGCGTCTCACATCGTAGCGATCTACAAACACTGACCTGCAATCCAGAATACGGTCTTCCAGCTGTCGGTCCCTCCGCCGACTCCGAGATTGGCACACGCGGCGAAAACATAACCCAGGGAATATCCCTGTTGAAGGATACCCGACATCAGACCACGGGCGTTGACACTGCGAACGTTTAGCGAGGTCGCACAAAATGCGGGTTGGCTGGAACACATACGGACAATGCTCTAGAGCCATGGCGATGGCGTTTCCATACACACCGCCCATGAAAAGACCAAACAGACTGCGCACGGCGAGGAATTGCTGGAAGGTTTGACTGTAGATGGTCGCAATCTGTAACACTCCCAACACAATCATGTTCACCACCATCGGCCATTTACGGCCGAACCGATCACCAGCCAGACCGAAAAGAGCGGCCCCAACGCTTCGCAGGAGAAGCGTCAGTGTAATTGCTGTTGAAATATCGGTTTTGGTGCGATGGTAATATTTAGACAGTTTTACTTGTTGAATAGACAGCGCATGAAAGTCGAAAGCATCCGCAGTCCAAGCGACCAGGCCAACGAGGAAGAACAGCCAGTCTCTGGCGCTGAGCTGTGCAAACAGGCTAATGGGGTTCTTGATGGGATCCGGGTCTTGCCATTCAGTTCGCGTCTCGCCGTACTCGTTGGTCACAACGACTCGTTGCTTCCACTTGAACAGATCCCCCCAGGCCTGTTTCGCAGTCGCGATAATGCCCGTGGGGACAGGTTCCGCTGGTTCGTTACTGGTGTTCATGTTGTTGTGAGATGCTCAACGAAGGAGAAAGCCAGAAACGAAAGGGAATAATAAAAAAAAAATAAAAAAATTAAGAATTTGCTGTAATATACGTAGGAGGGAATGATGCTCCTCGGACGTGAAGCGACATCAGGATTACGCCTTTGCCGGCGCCCTTTTATACATAATGGCAATAATTTCACTCTTATCCGTGGCGCCCTCCGCATGAGGGAGTAAGGTGTCGGGTCCACCTGATGCATTGGGAATTTGAGATCTATTTCACGAATCCCCAGAGTGCACGCCGAGATTCCCCGCGAAAAAGCTTCCAATCTCCTCGAGCCAAGATCTCGCCAAGCAGCTAAGGCTGAGGTGGTTGTCCAAGCGTACACAGTACCGGCAGCCACACGAGTCAGAGTTGCCATTCGAGGTGGTATTTCCTCTTGATTCGGGCCGCTCTACTTGCCCAGAGGCGCTAGCTGCTCCAATCCATTCCTGGAGACGTGGGGGGTCATGAATTTTGTGTGACGGCGACGGAGCCAATTGAAGTATCGGATTCAGACAAACGATGCTGGCCAATTCCTCGGACGGGAAAGGTCAGAAGGCCACGGAAGTAGTCCGCCTCACGTCCACGTCGCAAAAAGAGCGTAAATGAAAAAAAAAAATAAAATAAATTTGTGTCAGCCAAGACAATTAGGTTCAAGTCAATTTTAAACTTATTTCCCCATGCGTTTGTGGGTCTTTGTCTCCTCCTGGGGTAAAGGGTACGGGGTTGCACTCAGGCCCTACATGACCGCATTACGCTCATCAACCCATCCTGGGAACTAGGCCGATGAATCCGTTGGTTTTGCGTGTTGGCGAGTGGAAGATTGATCAGCATGCGTCCATGATCACGATTCAACCGAGACTTCTTCATCCAACGCCTAGTCGAGTCTTGAATAGCAGGCATTCGCATCCTTTGTGGGGAAATCCTACATCGAAGCGGAAATTCTCCGACAACGGTATCGCAGGTTTCAGTTTGCTAATCAGAGTCTACCTCCGGTGCTCCTTCGGGAGACTAAATCGGCTTTCACTGGGTCTGGTCGAGGCTCAATGGCTCCCCGCCGAGAAACGCGGAGATGCCCCTCGTGGCGCCGCTTGGCATAGTGAAGCAAGTCTTGGAAAACGCTGTCATGGCCAGCGGAAGGCTTGATTGCCTGAAACCGGTCGGGTGCGTTCGGAAGAATTAAACAAAGAAAATAAGACCAACGTCGTTGTGTCCCCGGTGTTGGTTCGGGGTGAATCTTGTTCATGGCGGAGAGATGGCATACTTCTTATTCCAGTCTTCAGTCAAACATTTCGCACTTCGTATATTCCTTGCAACGCTAGCACTGAGATAGGGCAGGCGCGCTCATTTCCCTTCTCCTCATTGGTCGGCTGCCAATCCGCGAGGGCCACCATCCCATTCTCAATATTTCTTTTTTTTACTCATCGCGATCACTGTAGGGGTGGGAGCTGGAGACCATGGTGCAGAGATGTGAAGTGATCGACATTGACCTTACTGAATTATGTAAAAGCTACCAACCTACCTGGTTACCTTCATGTCTCGTGCCTGTAAGTGAGCCTGGCCACTTGAAGCCGTGCAAGGGGCTACTGCTAGGGTTTGCCCCTAGGGATCAAAGGTAGCTGCAGATACATATGAACCTGTCTGTACGAGACGTTGGGAACTAGAATGATGCCGTGAGGCTCTATCATCCGTTTCATATCTACTACTAACATGCAAACCACCCTACACCTGGAGAAATCAATTACCGGGCGATCGGGAAACCCAGTCGCGGAATATATTCCACGGTGTGCCTCTCTTGGGACACCAGATGAGTCACTCTATCTACATGATAAGACCGGCTTCACTCCACAAGACTTCAAATAGAACATGCTTTTATGAAGAATACTATTAAGGGAGATATAGCGTCATGGATCTGCAATACGTCTGCGCTATAACGCCTGGGAAAGTTCGTTCAAGAGGCTAGCCATGGGCTAGATTCCACCTCCTTGCTCGTGGGTAGGATCGGGACTCAACAAGGTCCCACGATTATATCATTTGTTATATCAGTTATGTCGGCGAATGACGATGCTCATAATTCTCACGCTTTGAGGAAGAAAGGAATCAAACTTTCCTTTATCCTCTATCAGGTCATTCGCGTGTAATTCGGGAGCCAAATTCCGGACCATGCCTCTAGAAAGGCTTTTAAAATAAGGTCGTCGCTCTTGGCGCCGGAGAGATGCACAAATTTTAGAAATCAAGCTATACGTAAGAGGAAATCGCGCAAGGTGGCCCACGACAAACCTTATTATCAACAAGTCTATCATACGAGAACAAGACAATCTTTGGAATACACACCACGTTGCCACAAAGTTCACTTCCGAAAACACCCTCATCCGCATCTTAACGACAAACCCCCAAGTGGCTGGAAAGCCAAGATGGAACAGCCCGATTTTGCGCAGCACACTACTTCTCCCAACAGCTTGGCATCCTGTTAGTAGGAGTCGGGGTCTCCGACTGATCTTCTCTGCGGCTGCCCAGGAAAAGAAATTTCCTAGCATCAATCCCACACATTTAGCGCCGTTAGCGACTTTGCTCCGGCCGAATACTACCCCTCCACCATGTCATAAAAAACAAATCTCCACTCAATCCGAGTCCTCGTGCTCATTCGTGCCGACTATCGAGACCCGAGGTCCAGGTCAGGCCATGCATCGTCCAGCTTATCGGACGCCGCGATTGTTCACCATCGAAAAGATCCTTTCTTCCGGCGCGCTGCCCCGGTAAATTAGCTCATAGCCGATCCCGGTTCGCAGATGAAACAGTGCACCCAAAGTCCCCGCATCCCAGTCCGCAGAAAGAGCTTAGATTGCCTATCTTACGTGTGATGCCAACCGTGCATACCTTGAGCCCAACAGGAGAGAGCTCAATCTCAAAACTATACTTAATCCACGGTATAAACCTAGCAGGACAACTCTTATGGGCCAAATTAGAGCATCTATATATGATCAAAGGCGAGGGTATCAAAAGAAAGACCCCAAAACTCAGGATATTATTCTTGATTTCACCTATCTATGAGTCCCTTCTTTGTCTTATTTCCGTTTGCCCCACAAAGGGTTACAATTGCAGAAGCATGGTCTTGCACCTCTTCTGAAGTCCGTCTCGTCCGTGAAAAGGTTTGGACACACTTGGTTCCAACTTATTGCTCCCCGATAAACATCTACGCATCCCTCCTGTCCGTGAAGCACCCTTTACGCTAACCTCCCCCCCCACCCCCCACCCCCGGGCGGCCTAGCTGTCAACCCGGGCAGCTTTTTCCACATCCACATCCAAAGTCCGGTGACTGTCAAAGCCCTCATCGTAGTTGAACATCCGGGCTGCACGATGGGCCATGGCCCAATGTACAGTGATTAGGATCCGTCCGTGACAGAAACAGCCCCATGCAACCTCTATGGTTAAGCACCTCAGGATACGAGGTTTTTAAACCGTGAACATAAGTGCAATTGTCCTTAGCGCAGCGGATGGACTCGTACTCTTGCATCGGCTGTCAAGTCCAAATATCAGTATCAACTCCACACAAACTGAACGGAAAAGAAACCTACCTTACATTTCCTGATACACTTACGGTCCAGCCGCAAGCACTTAAACCCCGCCAAAGCAAGCGGACACATAAGTGTGATGAGAATCCGCCGTTTCTTGGACGGTGAGGTTTACGATGTCAGTCTTGCCTAGGGGAGGTGTCACCGCCTTGGCAGGCTTTTAGTATCAATTCGCTGTTCAGCTCTATCCAGAGTGAGAACTAAAATACCTGCTCTCCCGGAAATGTAACGACGAGGGAGCCCTCAGTGGGATCATGATTCCCAAGTTCCTCAGGGGCCAGGTGTAGCTGGATTGTGTTAAATTGTTGGGAGGTCTGTTTATTTCGAGGTTTTCATACAGAGAGCTTGACGACTCTAGCGGGTGACTCAGTTATGGCAACGAGTATTCAGGCTGTGGAAAAGAGGGAGACGTAGTGAATCGAGACCGCATGGATGTGTGATTGAAGGGCCCATGGAGAGTAGAGACGGGTTTGAAAGATCGGCCACGGTCAGTGAATGAAAGTCATGAGTATTATGAGAAACAGCTAGAACAAGAACCGGTGCAATCTCACGTTCTTTCTCTGCGACTGATATAATAGATAACACCTTGTTCTCCCAGTTTGTATATTTTGTGTCCTGACGGTTGTCAACCTTTGAACCCACGTGGCTTCAGTGCGAATGTTGAATATCCATGACGCGCTCTATCAGTGTGAACCATGATACTTCGTATACATCTGCCCCTTTCCCCAAGGATCCGATTCACTCGCCATACTTACGGTTCATCATGATTTTGCTCCCCGTTTGCGGATACAAAACCCGGAACAATCGTAAAGACGACCCCACGGCAGGAAATCAGGTTCCCATCCGAAACTTCCAAGATGAGATGTAAGCGCTTGTCACTCTCCCGGTGAGTGTTACGACCTCTGCGCCGCAAAATTTCGGCTGGTGAAATCATCACAGTAATTCTCGCAGCGCCTTCCGAGCTGAGTGCAAGCTCAGCGACATCCCTCCTCGCATTTCTGTTATTGGACGAAGGTCCAAAGTACTCCCACCACTTGAATGACAGGCTGTCACCGTCAGGATCGCATGAATCCACGGCTTCAGGCATAATCTCCTGTCCTGGCTCTACCGTGATTTCAGTACGCCGGCGACTTTTGTCGCCATTAACAACAGCGACAGGAGCATGGTTCGCCCCAGAAAACTCAGAAACTGTAAGCCATTTCATGCGAGCAGCAAAGTCCCGCTGAAACGACGCCTCTTGCCGTCTCCACACCGTGACATGTGACCCCATAAGCATACGTCCCGACTCGTCAACAACCGTACCAACACTATCAGCGAAATGACCCTCTCCAAAAGCCACAGGCCCATACCGACCGCCCCAAGAGCCCCATTCCGGATGCTTAGAATCAGACAACCCAGTCGGAATCATATACAGAAGCGAGGGGAAATTACTCTCAAGAATAAAGCTAGAATCGGGGTTCTTGGTCCCTAACGGGCCGATGTTCTGTGTATTTTCTCGGACTTACGCAGCCGAAATAACTTCTTTAGTCGCAAAACTCGGGAAATGACAGTAGTCGTCATCAGAGATACCACCCCAGGCCGCTACAGCATAGCGGTTAACGTGATGCGTGATGCACGCTAACGATATAGAAGAGACCCGGCTAGTTTCGCCGAATCCATGGACCCGTGTTATTCTGGTCGGGAATGGAATATGCGCGTGAATACCCATGCCATATCCAAACAGCATAATGATTTATAATGGGTCCTCCGTCCATTCCGACTGGTAGCTTAGTGATACACTCTTCGTCCCCTGAGCAAGAATCTCGGGCAATGTAGAAAGTACTACTAACAAACAATAATATTCTGTCTCTCCAACATCGACCCTCTGTGTAGCACTTGCTCAATAATTGATTTCCCTCTCGAAATCAGGCCCGAATACACACCTGCATTGGCACAGGTATAACCCCCCCACCCCTCCCCCAGGGTTCACCATATCAGGAACGTCTCATTTCTAGTACCCCATATAGAAAAAGCCAGAAAAAACATTCCACCCAAACCAAACACAAGACGCAACAAACACCCTCTCCTCAACCGGGACCGAAAGAAAACACCCCAAAGCACAAGCCGGCCAAATCGTCCACGCATTTCTAATCAACGGCGAGATCTTCCTGGTAACCTCCTCCCAAGGTAAAGATACGCTCACCTGGTACCAGATATTGGTACAATCCAAGAAGGTGACGTTCATTAGGAGGGGGTCCGATGGTTTGACCTAGAACTAGCTTGTGGAGAATGTTGGTCTAGTGAGTCTTTGACTTTTCGGGGTTATCGGGGTTTTGTTGATGGGACGGGACGTGTGGTGGGAAGGTGTTTTCGAGGAACTCTTGCCAGTGGCAGTTGAGGTGAGATTGAACTAGACTAAAGATCGCGAAGTCGAAGAGTGCTTTCCAGTCTAGGGCGTGAGCTGTTTGGGCTTGGCCGTTGCCGATGGGCTGGCAGCGGATTTGAGGTGGGCGGATTGGAGGATTGATTTGGTGTGGTTTTCGGTCATGGTGGCTCTTAGATATACAACTTGTGTTAAGGGGGTTACGAGGTCGAAGGGGGTTTAAGATGGAGTAGGTGTTTGAGGAAAACGGGATATAGAGAAAATCGATATCGTACGTCTGGGATCTCATAGATGAGGTTCTTAGGGCATAGATTGAAGCATTCTATGGCCCCTACCCCCCAGTGGTTAGGGTTGCCCGATCTGGTCGGCTTTCTTCAGCTCTCAGGCCCCATGGGGCAATCAATTAGTGCCTCGCATTTTCCCATTTGAAGGGATTATCATCAACCCTTGCTATAGTATACGAAGGCCGGAAAACAACAAAGAATCGATGATTATAAAATGGGAGTCTAAGAGTATATCATATCTCGCCTTGCCTGCGCACGGAGAGTTTTAGTCTGATCTGAGCAATTCAAGTTCTTTTTGCTTGTAGAATATTTGAGAATCTAAAGAATCAGGCATCATACCAGATCTTCAACTGGCGCCTGGCCCTGATAGGCATGGTATTGTCGCTCGGAGCCCTAGACTTTGGGTTCAACAATGGTTGGTGGGGAGGAGCGCTGGGTCTGTCCGAATTCCAGCACAAATATTGAGAGTACAACTAGGCACTGGGTCACTGCACGATCTCATCGCAAAAGAGCATCTGTGGGAACTGGTACCAGCTCATCTGGTATCATTCTCGATTGTATCGTTGCGCCAACTGTATTGTCGAAACTCGGTCACCGGAAGTTATTCCTAGTAATGTCACTGCTCATGTTGATTGGGGTCACGCTCGAGGCATCTGTCACATCTTTCTGGTAATTAGTGGTTGATTGAATCATCGTATACTCTGGCATTGGGTTAGTATCGAACTGCGTACCATTGTATTTATCGGAGTGTTCGCCACCACGCATTCGAGGTCTGTCCTTCCAAACCATGCAGAATAATAACATCTCCCCCCCCCCCCAGAGGTGCCTTTCTCGGGCTATACAGCTTTTTCAACTCCTTCGACGTATTCCTCGCCTCCATCGTTGTTTACCTATGCCGAGAAGGAACCGACAAATGGCAATATCTGTACGTCGCCACACCCTAACTATCTTCAACCCCTCCCAAACAGCTAACCAAATAGCACCGTAATCCTCTGCCAACTGGCCGTCCCAATCGGCTACATGACCTTCTACGCCTTCCTCTCCGAATCTCCACGCTGCCTAGTCTACCAGGGCAGCTACAAAGAAGCTGAAGAAGTCCTCCGCTCCCTCTCCAACACCCCCTCAACAATCGCCCATGAAATCTCACTCCTCAAAGTCCAAACCAAAAGAGCAAGGCAAACTCCACAGAGCGACCTCCCTCCGCGACTGCTTAAAGACACTAATCTCCGCCGCACTATTATTGCCATCAGCGTCCAAGTCCTCCAACAAGCACAGGGCGTCCCCATCATCCAGAACTACATCCTCGCCTTCATGGAACCGCTCCAATTCCCCGATCCCCTACGGACGAACCTCATGGTAATGGGGTGTAGCTTCGCAGCCCACATCAAGACATTCTTCAGTTTCGATGAGATTGGCTGTCGATACTCGCTATGCATCAGTTCAGTATTATTAAGGAGCGTGATGTTTGGAACAGGGATAGAGTTCGCAACGGGTGATACGAGCACTAGTTCATCGCCTGTGTCGATGGTGTCCATCGCGCTTCTGATTCTCTGGTATTATACGTATCTTACATGAGGTCCTTGGTGCTGGGTTGTTGTTGCCTGGTAAGTCGGGACAGGACAGTTAAGAAAGCGGACGCTGTTCCTTGCTTCTATAGGGAGTTTTCTTACGTCGGTGCCTATCGAATTGTTAATCCGTATACGCGGGCAAGGTTGGGTGGTTTCGTTACCTTTATCTGCGGCGAGTTCTTGGTTTTGGCGGTGGTTTGGGCGTTCCTTATGGTGCTGGAGACGAAGGGGAGGTCGCTTGAGGAGTTGGATGAAATTTATCAGGCAAGGGTTATCTACACGGGGGCTTAAGGTTTGTCAATATAGTGGGATTAGGGATCACATTACTGAGATGCTTGATTGGGTGGGTAAAGGGGTCAAGAAGGTGGAGGAGGAGTGGGTTGAGGGTAGTAATGTCCAGAAGACTTAGAATGGGTATTTCGTATATGTACAACCTCATATTTTTGGAAGGATCATCCAGATTCCCCCAGCGGGTACTTTCGGAAGACTAAATAACTTGTCATCGAATCAATTGCGGGTATAGAATAATCATTTACTCCATTGCTGTGTGACAATTGATAGCTGGGTCTGCTAACCTGGCTTCGTTGAGTATACATCATCAAATAGACCGAGATAGCACTCATTATGGAAATCTTTGAATACACGAACATCGTCTTTAGTAAAAACCGACCAAACGAACAAACAACACCGGATAAGAGACCCCACTCTCCAAAGAAAAAAGAAGAAAATTCTAAACAAATCCAAACCACTTCAAATCCTCCTCCCCATGAATCGGAATATTATGCCCAATCCCCGACGCCAAAACCCCCACCAGCTTCTCTCCCCAAACCGTAGTCTCATAGTTCGCCTCAGGCGTATTACTTTTCTTCTCCTTCGGCGCATCAAACTGATACCCCAGCACGCCCGCCCACTGCTTGCATGTCTCCTGATAGTTCCGCACATTCAAGGTCGTATCAGCACTCCCATGATAGATCTGCATCTTAGGCCGAGAACCACTGTATCCGGGATACATCGCCTTGGCAATGTCAGCCCAATGCTGCGGACTAGTGATCGACTGACCCTGCGAGCAGGTCGAATTCCACGCGTCGGGCTGGTTAGCAGTTGAGAGAAAGCAGCCAGCAGGAACACCCGCGTAGGCGATACCAGCTGCGAAGATATCGGGGTATGTTGCCGCGAGCACATTCTATTGTCAGACCATATTAGCATGATTCATCTACCCCTAACACTCCCCTAATGAAACGAAAGGAAAAGGGGAAGAGGCACATACAGTCATCATAGCCCCCGAGCTCATCCCCACCGCAAACACCCTCTTCTTATCAGCCCCATATTTCTTCACAGTCCAGTCCACCATGTTAGCTATCGAATTACTATTACCACCACCGTTGTGCGTGAGGGTCGCCTGCGAACTGACGTCCCAGCATTTTCCTTCGTAGGGGCTTTCGGGGTAGATTACGATGAAGTTGTGTTTTTCGGATGCTTGGGCGTAGGGTGTGCCGCCGTAGAAGGCTTGCGCTGTTCCTGTGCCTTTTTTTTTGGTTTTGTATCATTAGCTTGGGGACCATGGGGTTTTGAGGGGTTAAGTAAGGGGGTGAGAAAGTACAATAGTGGATTGCGACGACTATGGCTGGGTTCGGGGCTAGGTTGGTCGGAACGTATATGTACATTTTTACGTTGGTAGGGTTAGAGCCGAAGGAGGTGATTTGTTCGAGGGTGCCAGATCTGGGGGTTATTGTTCTGGCGGTGCAGGTGAGGGTGTAGAGGAGCAGTGATAGGACGTGGAGGGGGAGATGGAAATTGAGGAGCATTTTGGCTGGGAAGATTTCTGTTCGCTGGCGTATGTTTGAGTGCTCAGTAGTATCTTATATCTTCATCTTAGTAGAATGTGAGATGTGTGATCTCTCTATATATATATGCCCCCTTGAGGCATACCCCTGATAGATTACACCCTCATGGCTGAATTCAATACAACCGTTGTATACTGCCTGGATACATTCGCTGTCTATTTGCCGGACGAGCGGAGATTTCCCGTCAAGCTTGAAACTCTAGCTTCCGCGCTGGCAGGGATGTAACCGTAGTGTCGTAGAGTACCTTGCTCGGTTCAACTGCGTACTGGTATCGGCATTGAGGGGAAAATACCGTTCGGCCCATACTCCGTGACAAAAATGCTTGAGCTATTGGCCGGTTGTTTCAGGCGCAAGTTCTAGGGTGGGGGGATTTGGCAGATGCTTGTTTCAGCGTGATATAGCCGGTTATTCAGGCAAAAGGTTTAAGGCTATTTGGTCTGTATGGAGGACAATGATTAAATGCGTAGGGAGCTTTGGTTTGAGGGAGGTTGGAGGACATATGATAATGTTGGTGTTGAGGCAGAATGTACATATCCTGATAGGGCTATTTGGCAATAGGTGGGAGACACATTAGCGGGGTAGAGGAGATCGTCAGTGCTATTGCTAGGTTAAAACATCGATTTAATTTCTGGGAAGCAGCGGCAAGAGTTGCGCAACTCTTCTCACCGAACGACCACATGTACCCCGCCGCCTCTTCTCGTTTGTAAGCACATTATCGATCACCTAACCTGTTCTCCGGTCATCTTTTGGAGGTGCGCCTAATACCATTCAGCTCTCTGACCACACGTTCTCACCTCATATGAAGGTCAGTATAACACGCTCTGTTCTGTTGTTGAGAACTCCACCCTCGTTTGGATATCAGATCGTAGAAAATATCATTTCCAGATCTCCTATATAGAAGTACTGGGGATAGTAGTTTAGCACCTAGTCCAATAAGCTCTCGTCGTCATTCCATGATTCATACTAGTCTCCCCTACGACCACAGATACACAAATTCCGCAGGATACCTACGAGTCAAGGGCTTCGACATATTCCCATAAAAATATCAGGGTCGCCATGCGCCAATTAGATCGATTACCCTTGTGCCTCTTTCTAGTGCGAGCCAGTCACTTTGTTTGGGCTTATTATTTACATGCCCGATACACCCTATGCGCCCCATACGCCTTTCTTCTTCATGACAATAAAGTTCTTACGCAGGAAGGCTATAATGAAACTAATACAGTGTTGATATCACCCATCTTTTGGATATTCTTCTATCATTAAACAGAAATTGGATCGGGTGGAATTTTTATTTAAATGGTATTGTTCTTTTGATCCTTTATTACTTCCGAAGTCCAGCTTGCACAAAGACCAAGCTCATACCTACTGTATACTTAACGAAAGTTGCATCAGGCTTATGTTTGAAAAATACTGGCAATAAGTACTGATTGGTTCTAGAAAGCTTCCTCGGGTTTAATTACGGGGTACTTCCTGCCTTCTAACTATAGAAACATTCACAGAACAAGAGTAAATAATGTGAATCCTTCAGTTGCCCCGGACTCCTGGCATGCATGAACAAAGACCCTCCTGAAAACGGGAAAGATAGGAGAGATAATCTAGAACTGAGTGAAATTGAAATTAGCCGTTGATACTGCTATATAAATGAGTTAATCGAGGCCACTGTCGAACATGCCAGCCAGTACATTCCACAATTCACTTCTGCCGACATTCGATATCTCTCGCACTGCGCGGAACCATGTATTTCAGTCATGCAATTGTCCTTCTGGCTTTGTCGGTCGGTATCCTCAGCGGTAACTTTTCCACGAGCTGCAGGAAACCATTCCTCGAATCTATAAAGAGCTGGAGTTGCCCTTACAGCAATTGCAGAGACTTGGCTGGAAAAGTGCAGCCTGGTTGGATCAATCTGAGTCACTGACTGAAGTACACCAGGGAAAGGATTGAACCTGACGCGGAGTATGTATCCTTGCTCCTTATTCTATTCTGCTTTCCCTAACATACCCCAGTCGGAACTTTCATAAACAGAAGTCGTATGTATTTGTGCCCTTCAAGCTCCTTTAATCCTGCTAATAGATAGCCGGGATGGCATACGGAGGTCTTCGAAATCATGTCAGAACTGCGAATTCTCTCCTGAGTTAGGCAAGGAGACAATCCAATGCAAGTGTGGGATTACCAAGACTGGCTTTGGGTCGGTACAGGCGGACTTCGGTAAGTAATGCAAGAAGTTCAGCTGCCAAGCTAGTGTATAATGGAGAATCTACAGATGAAGTTACATCGAACCAAGATGGCAAATCGCACTGCTTCCTTACCACTGGGAACCGGAAGGATGCTTCCGCCCCACTTCCGGCTTTGAGGCCAGACATCTGGGTAAAGAGGTGTGACGTACTCTAGAAGGAGGAGGATAGGCTACTTCGTTGAACTGAGTTATTGTCTTCGACCCAAAGTTGGGTGTCCGAGATTCTAGATCTAGTTGATCAACACCCTAATAGGCTGTCTACATTACGGGTTAGACGCACCTTAATTGCTGTCCGAAAGCAGGACAATAGTTTGGATGGTAATGATTTGATAAGCGCGGATTCAAGCTTGACCTCACTTGTCACATACCCACATAAGGTACCTAGTGCTTGCTCATGTACACGATGAATGGGAGGTTCCCGCCATTCTATATTATACCCGGCTAAATAAGCTTAAGTAAAGATAGAATAAGCTGTTAGGAGAAGCTTACCAATCACCCATAATTTCCTTTACGATCGATGATTGGAGCAAAGTCTCGTATTTCAAGAAACTAATTAAGAGGATATGGTCACCGCTCTACATTAGTTAGTAGCGTCAGGTTTAAGTAAAGCGTTGAGAAAGGAAGGTCACAAACTGGGTTGAGCCAGTGATAGTTAAAAGTGGTGTGTCATCCGAAGCTCCCGGCAGAAAACATTCAATCCCTTCTTTTCCTGACGGGTCAGCATTTAAGCCAATTAGTACCGTGGCACTAACAGAAGACTAAGTGTATAACGATGCCTAATAAGTTATAATGATGCAGTTCTATCCTAAAGCTCGACAGCGTCGCTTGAGCATCTCCAACCCGGCGGTGCGTCGCTCGAGGCTACAATTCCTCAAGCTCGCGGGCCTTAACTTTGCCCTGCTCCAGCTACTTTTCCTCGCTTTGTTTTCATATCTCTTCGGCTCTCTCTTTCGCCAAACTGACCATGTTCATAACATAAATGTTGTCTTCGTGGATTACGATGGTGGTCTCATCGGAACTGCCGTTCGCCAGGCCTACCAACAGCTGGAAGGAGAAGGGTTCCCTACGTTGATTGAACGATCACCACAGCAATTCGAGTCGCCAACGACCCTGCAGTCCGCAGTGTGTAATGTCGACTATTGGGCCGCACTTTACACCACCCCGAACGCTTCAGACCGACTAGCCACGGCACTAACAGGCGGCGATGCTGCATCTTACAATCAAAGCGACGTACTAATTTATATCTGGAACGAGGCGCGGTATTCGACAGTCGCCGATTCGGCAATCGCTAGCAATCTTGACAGTTTATCGCAAACAGCACGCGTCGCATATTACCAGCTCAACGGCACCGGTGCGCTTCAGGCGCTCCCGAGGACAGACGCCGCAGCCGTCGAGGTCTTCACCTCCCCATGGACCCTAACCGCAGTAGACATACAGCCCACCATCCAGGGCTCGCGACTGATCTACAACACCCTCGTCTTCATCCTGATCCTAATCCAGGACTTCTTCTTCCTGGGCACAGTCAACGGCCTCTACGCACAACTGAACCTCTGGATGAAGCTATCCCCAAAACGCATGGTCACCTTCCGCCTACTCCTTTCCGCCGCGTATACATTCGTCGGCTCCCTCTGCGCAGCAGGCAGCATCTGGGCCTTCCGCAAAGGATGGCACGTCAACGGCAACCAGTTCGTCCTAACCTGGATGGCAATCTGGCTGTTCGGCCACCTGAACTTCCTGACCCTAGACGTCTTCACGGTCTGGCTACCCCCTCCGTTCGTGCCCATGGCTCTCATCACATGGATCGTGTTGAATGTAACCTCTATACTACTCCCGTTCGAACTATCCCCGGCCTTCTACCAATGGGCCTATGCCCTCCCCGCGCACGCGTTGTATCAAATCCTCATCGATATCTGGTCCGGCGGATGTAACCCGCAGCTCGGTTATGCGCTGCCTGTCCTCTTCGCATACGAGCTATCGAGTTTAACCTTAAGCTGTATTGGGGTATATCGACGCTCTCATCTTGCCTTTGTCGCGAATGAGGGGGAAGAGAAGAAGTTGCAGGAGTGTATTGCCGCGACCTTAGCGGAGAAGGACGAACCGGCGGTGCTAGAGAAGTCGACGCCAAGACGGGAAGATGAAGCTGGCGAAGGTGCGGCGCCAACGGATGAGGAGGGTACTCTGGAGTCCGGTGCGCCGATGCGCAGATTGAGAACGATCCCTACTTCGACTGAGCGACAGGAATTGGTGGACCGGATCACTCGGGAAACGTCGCGACTACGTCGTGAGAGGACTGTTGAACGAGGGCCGAAGTTTGATCTTGTTGGAGAGTGATACTGGGTTTAGTACTGGGCATATTTTATTTATTAGTTCTCTATTTGGTTATTGGAACATTAATTAATTAATTAATTTCTCGATTCATTGGTAACAATGCAATGTCCATAATCCGATTGGTTGATTCAAGACTATGACTCTACTAACTCCTTGAATCTCATTTATCCGACTCTCTCGGCCATTAAGTGAGCGATTTCTAACCTCAGCTTGTTTAACAACCCTATCCAAGTGATCCTCCGTCGACATTTACTATGCCCGCACCCCTACTTTGTTAACGGGTTCCCCGGCCCAGCAGGCAAGCTCACTGTAACTACAGCCCTCGCAGCATTAGACGACACAATCATTCTTATCGGTAACCACAAGCTGATCGACCCTGTGGAGGCTGAGTACCCAAGAGATCATCCGGAATACCCAGATTAAACGGAAGCTACGACGACAAAGTGTCTTTGATGAATATGTACTCGGCCCCGTTATGAAATCGCGCGTAGTTGTGTTCAATGGTTAGTTGCTTTTTCCTTGGTTCTCTTGGAAAGTTTGAAACGCATGCTGCGGACTGGGGACGAGCTCTAACAGGCTCTAGTGCTATAAAGCCGTATTTAAAACTACATTGGCTGAATGGGAAGGAGCTAGGGATTCCGGAGGGAGACCTTGACGCCGCAAAGAAGAGAGTATACAATCCATTTCCATACGTACGGACCACTAACCTCTGACTGGTATTTTCCCTAGACACTTCAGTGATCATGCCATTACCTCATTCTCGGACTAAGACTGTCTCAATGAACAGGTGTTCCTCGTCGTTGACGATGCCAGTGTCGCTTCGTACATGAACAATTCATACTCTGCTGCCACAAAGTTCGTCCCACCCGGCGACTTCGCAGGCTTCGTCCTCGCTATCGATGCCAATTATGACCCTGAAGAGGGCATAGAGCGACCAGATGAGTCCCCAGGATACTACAGACAAATGCGCATTCTAGGTAACTTGATCTGTGTAGATTTATACGCCATGCTCTTGTCTTAGTCCGCCCTACTCGAAGACTTGTGGTCTCTGGCTATGTACCATCCAGACGGAGTCTACGTCGGCCCTTCTGTACCCTTACAGCGGATATGCTGGATGATTCAGAACAATATTCGTGCTCAATCATTCAAGCAAATGATAAAATATGCACGGGCAAAGATGGTCGGGACAGCACCAGCTCCACCGGCTATACCACCTTCATGAACTGGACGAAGCGAGCTGCATGGCGCCATACGGGCTTTACTACTACGCCATGTTGCACAGAATCTGCGACAGGAAGGTAACTTGCGAGCCGCGGTAATAACTGAGGTAGTTGTAAATATGCAACCAGGCGAACAGCCGGACTGGGATAGAATTCAAAGGCGGTTGGACTCTGAGCCTGAAGGGGATGAATCGGGGTCAAATACGCGGGATAGAACAAGGAGTTCTGATGATCATTGTATTCCACCATAGAGCGTCGGCTTTGAGATCTATATACCACTTAATGTAAAAGGTACGGGCCTAGATCTTATAGCCTTTCAGAATAATGATATTTAACAGCTTTTAAACTCCCGAGTCCAAGTCGTTCTAGCGTTTGTGCTTCTGATTACTGTGTGTCAGGTCAATCTTCTCGCCAGTGCTGAGGTAGTCTGTTTGTGCCTACATAGCTAGATCCAGTCGTCCGTCTCTAATGGTTCAATATTACTTTGATTATTGGATCAACGTTTACACAGGGCACCTGAACAGTTCTCATTGTTGTCAGCTAGGGCCTACACTGACATCAAACATAGTAGTACCCGCCCAGCGTTCGGACCTTTTCTGGTCAAGTGGTTTATTGGGGTTTATACTTGGCTTGTGAAGAGCTACCCATTTTGCTATAGGGTACTTGTATATCTTTGTGATATATGTGACAATTTAGGGGAAAGGTGGGCGCCGTATATGGTTTGGCCTATTTTATCTCAACTTTCAGTAGGTGGTTCTGGAGCAGCCTCAGGCTGCGCTTTCTAGGATTCCGGTTCGCCTCTAAGCAAGCCCCATGGAATCATGCGGCATATGATCGATATCAACATGTAATACCTACGTCGAGATTTGTAGTGTAGCGAGTTAGGTGGCCACCGCACTCTTCTACAGAGCCCACAATGGGTCGATTGTCAAACCTACACGCTTCTCCACGTCACCACATCACAGGAGTTTACAGCCTCCCTTTACAAAACCCCTGATTATCGAGTGCTAGTGCGCACCATCACAAACCGACCCGGCAAAATGCCGAGCAGTCTCGGGTGCAAACGAAACGTGGAGGATGGTTCTGCAAGTCCTCCATTGCCGCGACCTGGCTCGCCCCTCTCGCTCTATGCGATTATTCGCCAATACCCAGGCATACGTCTCTACATTCAGCCCTTACTCTGGACCAAAGCTCATCTACTGCTTTTGGATTGCAACTTCACTCTTCAACAAAGACGGCCACGGAGGATAGCACGTCCAGGTTGTTTAGATCATGTCCGCAATACGAAGCTCTATTGCGACACCCTCTATGCTATAGCCAATCTACAAGAACGAAGAGGCGCAGAGTCCAGCAAGCTCACCGTTGAAAGAATCCTTGCTGCCTATAATATCTGTCCTTTACAGTAAGACTCCCAGCGTCGTAGAATGCGGATCGTGCGGCTAACGCTATTGTAGTCTTGGATGCCTGTCTTTCCGTTTCAATCACCGGATTAGGGTGCCCCTCCTACCGGATCGTGTTTTCTCTCGAGATCCGGGCTCAGCAATTATCGCCTATGTTAGTTATGACAGTATACAAAAGCTTCGGCGGAGCAATTTTCATGGCTCCCGCTCCAATCGAGCCAACGTACCCGTTTACAACATCCGAGAGAAACTGCTACGCTCCATTCAGCCCCGTAATAAACACGAAGACCCATATATCGCGGCGATCCTAATTGGGCTTGCTCAGCAGCAGCGAGCACGGGAACAGGCGAACCAACAAAATATCAGAGACGTAATGTTAAACATGCCAGGCGTTATTGAATATGCCGCGCCACGTTCTACAGTGTCGACCCTGGCCCTTTCGCCCGGTGGCGGTACAGAGCACACCACCTGGGCCGCGTCCAAGTCCTTCAAGGTATACACCTCTACCGTACAGAGTTTCTTCTAAGTATTGACTGTAAAAAGGTCAACCTGCTCGCGATCAAAGGTCAATTTCTCTACGTCTATACTGCTACTATACCGTCTGAGTTTCTCGACAGATTCGATGAGCCATCAAGCTCCTTTCCACACTGCCCGGTGACTATAGAATACCATTGTATCTCTTTCCACGAACCAGACTGCATGATAGAGACGCTTCACCTGCTACTCTGCACTGGCTCCTGCCGGTTATGCGCCAGGGGCGAGGCGCAAGTCGCTAACGTACTGCACCAATACAATAATATGCGGCCCGACGATAATATACAATACGAAGGCAGCTATAAAGCCCTAGTCTCTTCGTTCCGGACCATGTCGATTGAATCTAGAAACTATTCTCGACAGGGCGTTGCCCCAAGCTTTCAGGTGAATGTCTAGGGCCCTCTACAGACCCACAGAATGTTACTCCTTGCTAGGCCTTGTGAATTGTTTCTCTTCCCTCTTTTGTAATTCAAGCTTTCGTGTTTTGCGTCGTGGAGGGTATTTATTGGACATATCCCAGCATATTCCTTTCAGTCCGCCGGAGAGTAGCCAAAGGTTGTCATGGACTTATCAGATTTGCGAGCCCTCGTGCATTGTCTTTTATCATTGAGCCAAAGGGCCAGTCTCACACGGCTCGTGTTTACATTATCGGGACACTATTTGTATTGCTAGTCTCTTAGTATTTATGCTTCAAACGGTCAATGGAATTTTGCTTACACGAATACCTCCGGCATGTCCCCCGAAACGTGTTTATTACTCCAAGAGATCCAATAAAGCATTATCCGCTATCCTATGAATCTGATGTATCTACAGTCGTGCCTGTTTAGTTGAAGGACCTAATGGACTCTGGAATCCCTCGAACCCGCGCGCTTTGATATCAGCCAGTCGGCCCCTAAAGGTCCCTAAACCCCCAAAGTAGAAGGGAGCCGACCGAGCTTTCCCGTCGATATTGCTCCCAAGTAGCCACGATGGAACCTTCTCAAAGAGGGTCCCCGCTGTGGATGATCTACTCAGCTCTGTCCAAGCCTGTTCAGCCTCCCTCGTAGCTTCAATCTGACATCCACAATCCGTCTGCTTGGATATTTCCTCCGCCCGTCGGACCAAATCCAGAATGAAGTCGATGCTTGTCTCCGTGGCCGGGGGGATGTTGGCAAAAGCCATATGCGGCCCGTTCACCAGCAGTAGATTCGGGAAGCCATGCACAGACACCCCGACATACGAGCTGGGACCAGAAGGCTTCCACATATCATACAAATTTGTACCCTCCCGGCCGCGAATATCAACCTTAGCATACGACCCATCGACTGCATCAAACCCAGTCGCAAAGATAATCACATCCAGCTCGTACACAGTCCCATCCGCCGTGCGTATCCCCTCCGCCACAATGTCCGTAATAGGATCCTTCTTCACGTCAACCGCAAACACATTCTCCCGATTAAACTTCTCATAATACCCATCATCACAAAGCGGCCGCCGTGCATACAGCTCCCGCGGCGTAAGCACCTCCCTCTTCTGCGGATCCTTCACTATCCCCGCAATCTTGCCCCGGATAAACTCGCACACCTCATCATTCGCCGCCTCATCAACAACAAGATCCGAAAACCCACCAAACATAAACCGGAACGCGTTCCCAGCCGCCCAGAGCTCCTCGAGCATCTCCTGCCTGTCCGCAGGCGCCACAGACATGAACGGTCTGTTCGGCTCCGGCATCCCCATCGCAAACGTCGATGTCCGTGCATCGGTGATAATAGCCGCATAGTTCCTATTCACCAGCTCCCGTTCCGCGGCCGTAACCTCCCTGTTCCCCGAGGGAACACTATACTGCGGCCGGCGGATGAAAACATGCAGAGATTTCACCGTGTCCGCGATAGCAGTGACAACCTGTACACCCGATGACCCGACCCCGATGACGCCAACCCGCTTGCCCTCAAGCTTCACATCCGGATTCCACGACGAGGTATGCTGAATCTCCCCCCTGAAGACATCCCGACCGGGAATACCAGCGTAATTCGCCTTAACCAGCAACCCCAGCGCCGTGAACAGGTACTTAACATAAAACACATCCCCGGTATCGCACCTCACCGTCCAGGTCTTCGTCTCCTCGCTCCAGATCGCAGACCGCATCGTCGTCCCAAACTGCATGTCTTTCCTCAGATCATACCTTTCCACTACGTGTTGTAGATATTCTAGTATCTCGGGTTGAGTAAGGTACCATTTCTTCCAGGGATAGGTTTGTAGTAGTTCACGATCGAAGAGGAAGCGGTACAGATGACTCCATGTATCGCTTAAAGCACCCGGGTACCGGTTCCAGTACCATGTTCCGCCGACGTCAGGGGCTGTTTCGATTGCTTTGACTTTCAGGCCTTCTCTGCGGAGGGAGTAGAGGGAGTAGATGCCGCCGAAGCCGGCGCCGATTACTAGGGCGTCGAGGTGGTGTTCTTTAGCCATTTTGGAGGTGGTTTGGGGAGTACGAGGCGGAGAGCGTGGTACGCGGTTCTGGCGAGGACTTATGGGGGAAAAAGGCCCCTGCCGGATCGACGTAGCCGTGTCCACTGAGTTATGGTGGGTTTTGTGGTTGTGCAGATGGACCCTTGTCGGGTGATGGGGGTTGACTGGGATTACCGAGTTGTAGATATGGTGGTGGTTGGCTGGGTAAATTGTCTAGAAGTGACGACGACATTACTTTTTAGGGCCGTGGATCGTGTGATTCGTGGTTGATCCTTGTCCTGCAGGAATGGTGGATATCGGGCTGGGGTGTTGTATGGGTCGGAACCCCTCACGACGGTGCATTCGAGTTATGTGCTCTGACCTCGGTTGACAGAAGTACGGAGGTAAGATTAATAATTTCGATATTATAGACCGAGCATGGTCTTAATGGAGATAGTGGAACGACGGCAAGACTGTAAGATTGTCCGGGGACGAGACATTCCTTTAAAGGGCTTTTGTGTCTCTAATATAAGTATTTTTTTTAGACGCTTTGTACAGCACTGATCCTGGGGTGCACGAACCAGACTTGGGAACGATTTGACGTTGTGTGAAATATAGTCTATTGCCAAGGTTGCTGATTCGCATCGAGCTTGTGATACATAGGTCGTCTTACATACTTACGTTCATGCATGTAGCCTGATCCATGCCATAGCCTATGCGCAGAATCCGAGATTGAGGAATCCGGAGCAGACTGGATGAAGGCTCTGCGTTATATACTGCAAAGGTAGAGTGTAGGGGTATTGAAAGGGAGCGGACAGAAGGTGATATCATCGTGAAGGGATGATATCACTAGAAGAGCAAGTCGCAGCCACAGCCTCGGGTGTGGCTTATGATGGAGCATATTAAAGCATTAAGTTATGAATCGCTTCTATTAAGGTAGTCTGTATTATAAATTGATAGAGAAAGCGTAGTCAACATTCAGAATTCAGCCTTCAACTAGTAGAAGTCTACCACACAGGTTCCGGCAAGAAATGCAATAAATCGGTTTATAGATGCCAATTGAGCCTAGATCTCCAAGGTTCCAATTCTTCATTTTAAGGAAGACAGCCACATATCATGCCAATGTTTGTATGCCCATTGGGAAAGATTACCAGGTATACTCAAGGATCACTATTGCGGCAGCATGTCCAGCAGACCTAATCAACCTATTAGAAAATTGTCATGACATAACAGAAATAAAAGAACCTATACATCGTTCTGTCGCTCCTTATGCTAGGTGTCTGTCAGTTATTATAAATTCATTTGATCTGCGACAACCTACCCAACCCCTTGGGCATATGGGCTCGTAGACAAAACAGATGAACCAACATGAGCGCTGGTTTACTTCGGTGCTGTTGGTGTTGACAGGCATTGCAAGACCCAGTGACGCATATGCTGCGATAGTGGCTAGTGCCAGCTTCGAGAGATTCATGGCGAATGGACTGGAGGGCAGTTTTAGGGTCTCTTTTGATTTGACCTATTGGAGGGAGAGGGGCGCGTATGAGGAGTAGGAGTGCACTTTGAAGTGTCCGGGTCTTTCGAGAGTTTATGTATCGGTCATATACGACTGGTCTGTTACACTGGTGCCTGCATATTCGGCGGCCGTTGTAACATCGCCATATTCCTGGATGAGAGGAACCAGTACTCAAAGGGAGAAGGTCCATGGAATTAGGTTGTTATGCCATAGCTGAACGACAGGTAATGGGAGACGTATTATCATGAAACTGTTACGATCACAGGAGACTACATATCCAGTCATGAGCTATGATGAAAGAGTTAGACCTAAAGACTTTGGCAAAGTAAGAGTATGGGAAGGACAGGCAGTGGAGTACAGCACTCGGAAGGCAGCTCAGGATATGAGATCAAGTAAGAAGACACATATTCTCATTTCTCCACGCTGCATTCCGCATTAATACAAAGCAGTGTACCTTCACGAGACATCATGTAGCTACATCTTTTAACACTCATGCATTACAATTGTGCTGGATGTTCTATATCTCAGCGTATAGCACCCAAAAAATGGCACGTGTATTGAGCCTTTCTCTCACACTGCAGGTTGCTAGCTTATCCTTGAGCATCGTACATGTGTTCCCATAACCTCCCATGTCTTGTCATTATTCGGCACATTATAGTTTCGGCAAATTTTTAGGGTGCTTGGATTCAGGGTCATAGCCAGTGTATATAAATCTGAAATCTTTGTTACACGGGTCTCCTTCGCCGGTGAAATCCGTAAAGCTTTAACAGAAGCTATAAAGGGCCTATACACGTTTTTCTATTTTTATCCTAATGCATAGCGAACGTAGAGAGCCCCTCCTACCTTGAGACCATCGACGATAAAATAGGGAAATGGTAGCAGCCGGGTTTTTTACCCATTTTTGCACCGATAATCTCGCCCTTGTGCAGAGACGTTTAGATATATATCCATATCTCAAGCTCTCTGTTCAAGCTCTAAAGGAAGGGAGTATGGAAGTATCAGCCATTTGTCAGTAGAGGTATACCATATCTTAGCATAAACTTGTATGGATGGTTTTACATATACATTCCAACAGCGTGGTTGCTTTGGAGGGATAGTGCTGCCTTCTCAATACTGGCACACCTTAGTTGTGAAGAGTTTATCTGACATCCAACGGTAAACAGGCTCGTCGAGATTAGGCATTTAATACCTGGTTATCTTTTTATCGGGAATGTCTGGAGGGATGGAGCGCAGGGATGAAGCTGATGCCCAAGTTCTAACCACGCCCTCAATCATGGCTCAAATGAGGCACCGGGCCTAGTCTAGACCATGTTCTTTCACCCTATGTAAAACCCTCTCGGTAATATCTTCCGACTCGTACGACGGAGGCTTGTCGCTCTCAAGCAATCAGTATATTGACTAGTTCATCGTGATATCTTACCTTCAGTGACGCCCAGTGAGAGAACGAAAGGTGGACTACTCCCCCACTGGACATTAAGAGGGGCTACGGATGCTAATAAAAATAGGCGGGTACGGCAGGCTAAATCGAGTAAACGGACAGAGAACTACTCTTGTCGTACCCCCAGAAACTCCTGAATAGGAAAGTCGATAATAACACAAACGACAACATTTTTCGTCTTGAGCGATGCACTAGACCTGAAGGCAATAGCCCGAACTGTCAAGGCGGATCGAGTAGAACAGATGTGAAACGAAATGCCGTCAAACGAATGTTCCCCTGATATGTTTCAAGACTGCCTACAAGCGACAGGTCCACAATTTCCCGGCCTTGTCAGGGCTGCCGAATGTACCGAAGCTTATCAAGGTAATAATTCACCAGAAGAACCCTAACAAGCCTCCGAAGAGCGGTAAGCTTCTAAATCCATTAGATCAAGCACAGACCAACCAACAGTCAACTTGCCATTATCTCTCTGGATAGAGGTATAACCCAACGATCAGCAACAATAATGTGAGTATACCATCCCTAGCTCACCCACAGCTCATGGCCCGAGGATGGTAATTTAGTTGTCAAACAATTTCGTCTCCAATCAAACACCGGTGGCTCCATTGGGATACAGCAAAGCAAAATGGAGCGTCATACGTGTCTGCGCGGAGAGCCAATGATCAGGCTGTGGGGCACCCAATTGATTCCTGTATAAATAATTTGGGCCCTATATTATGGACCTTGTGTTTGGATGGGGACGGGAAATTAAAATATGACTTAATTACAGTTGTCTCTCGTACGTATCATCATGTTGTTATGTGAGTTTCTACTTAAACAGGATAGGGGAGGTACTTGTTCGTTCTTACAGACATTTTGTTCAGATCCAACATAGCGCCCGAGCTGCGGAGTTTACCAACTAATCCACCCTGTTCCGAGCGCGTTTTACAAGTCGAACATTTCTCGGATGATAGTTCACCGTTGAAAGTATTATTGGGGGAATCTTGCGACCGAGACCGCCAACGCAGCGGACATACATCTACGAAATGATGCTATTCGAGCAAAGGAAGAAAAAAGTGCTCGAGTTAGCGGAACAAACGAACGATGCTCTGAAAACGATACAAGAAGTCGGTCAAAAGCTCAATGTCACAAGCGACACCGTAAAGAAAGTCATCGAGACGATCAAGATTGCCGCGAACTCGTTCGGCGACAAGGCTATCTACGCAACCGCTTTTACCGGCACGGTGGGGGCTGTCGGAATCATCGCCAATTCGATCGCAACCTACCAAGGGGTCGGCGAGCTTCGCGCGATCGCAGGCCATCTCAAGAGCATGAGCGAGACGCAAAGGGCGGAGCTTGCACTTGCCGGTGGAGCGGCATTTGCCGAGAACATCTATGTGATGCTGAAATCCAAGATCGAAAAGTCGAACAACGAGCTTGACTGGTTCTTCGTCTTCCATCCGGACACGGACTGGACGTACCATTTTGAAGAAAAACTGCGGACAAAGGGTCTCCTAGGTCGGAATTTTATCGGCATCGTGCATGACCTCGACGCCCTGGTTGCCTTTATGTCGTCCGTCAGAGACGTTTATGCCACGCGACACCCACGCAGAAAACAACCCTTCTTCCATCTGGTTATCCCGGCCTATGAGCCCATCATTGTCCCTACTCCACTACTCGTCCCGGAGAAACTGCACCCATTCCGGATAGAGGGAGATATCCACCGTGGAACGTATCTGGTTTGGATGAACTTGCCAGGCGTGGACGAGAGCGCCATTCAGAATATCGGGTTGTTTCAGCCGCCGAGGTCTATCTGGGACAACATCATGCTCCAAGGTAGGGACTCTCCTCTGCTTTTAAGTTCAAGGCAATTAGAAGATTGCTCATTGATCCATCTAGTCGGCCTCGTCCAAACTCCACCTCCCCGCTACCTCGGTTCTACTACCCAAAAGATAGAACAAGCCCCGGCCGCTCAACTTCCAGCGCCAACCCCGGTTGCAGAGATCGCAGCGCCTGAGCTGGCAACTAACGAGATATCATCACTCAAAGTCAGTCGTGAATCTCTTCGGCACACTTCTACGTATCCGGATAGTGAAGTGGGATCGACACATAGTTCCCGATCACATTCCCATAGACGGCGACGACGGCATCGGACGAGTAGCGTGAGCTACATTTCTTGACGATATAGCGATTCATATGATCGAATGGTGATACCGATAGCATTCTTTAAATTTATGGATCTCGGAGTTAATTGGCGCGCTCTTTTATTTCATTACTTGTCTGAACGCATCTTGTGTATCTCTCTTGCATGGATATATATATATAGAAGCGAAGGGAGGCAGAACTCATAAATGTAGTAAAACCTTACGATAAGCTCGATCCTAATTCTCACTGGTTCTTAGCGGGCTTTATTCCTTACATAAATACTCAAGAAACTACAATTTTGCCAGAGTGACAACCAGGATGCTCGGTTTGCCCCAGTCAAAAAGATCGCTATAGTCAAGATTCAATAGACCCGGTGGTGCAACTAAAGAAGGCGCTCTCTTTCTTTCACCCACCCCCAAATTTCGTTCTTTGCTTTTGTCCTATATTCTTTCTTATTTTTCTTTCTATATTATTTTATTTATTCACACTTCGTCCACACTGCGCATAAACCTCCGTCAAGATTCTAACACGGGGGAATTCGTTCCACAACCTAAACCCTCTATACAACCATAAATCTCAAATAACCAGAAATCAACCTCATCACATTGAGCTTATTTCAAGTAAAAAAAAAAATAAAAACGACATCCCACCGCAATTCCTCACTTCCTCACCTCTACAATAGATACAACTCCTCCACCTCAACCCAAGGCGACGTCCCCACCCAATCAGCACCGCTCCTACCCAAGGCCCACAGCCCTAAAGGCATCCTCGCATGCATACAAAGAGTGACGAGGATGGAGCCCAACGTGGTCCGGAAACCCCATTCGACACTTTCCCCCCATTCATATAGCGTGACTGGACAGCTCATACCTGCATCCAAGCCCTGACTCAATTTCTCACGTCTTTAATATGCCTGGGAAAAAAACAAAAGAAGAGGAATCGCATGGGATCTTTAAAGAGGCGATTTGTCCTGTTTTGAGCGCGCGCGGGGTACACAGATAAATTCTCCGGGTTGGTTATTGGTATTCTAGCTGTTCTTGTCTTTTTAGACGGAATATAGGATTCAAGCAGACGAAAAGAAAAGAATACAGTACCCCCAGCAAAAATGCTCGACCCAATCGACGAAACATCCTACCTCGACCCCGAAGTCAGAGAATACCCCCAACCAACCACCAGGTTCGCTCCCTCTCCCTCCCCCATCTCAGATATACTTAAACCACCCACTAATCGCAGACTGAAAACAAAGCCCCTACAAAGCCCCAGTCGTCACCCTCATAATCGGCCGCGACGAATACATAATCCCGGAATTCTATCTCCGGCAATTCCCCCAGCTCCGCCGCAGCCACAAAGCCTTCGAACAGGGCTTCAACCCCAGCCTGAAATTCGTCTCTAGTCTCGACGTCGACGAAGATATCGGCCACACCCTCGTCCATTACCTCTACACAGGCGAATATGAGACCCTCCGCGACGGCCCGGATCCAGCGGTCCCAAAACGCACGATAGAATATCGGCGCAGCGCGCTGGCGTACCTTGCCGCCAGGAAATATGGGCTAAGTGGACTCGAGTCGCATGCGAAGCATTATATCGAGGTTTTCGATCGTGATGTGCCCACGCCGGATATTCTGCGTGTGGCGAGGGTTATTTATTCGAAGCTGCCGCGGGATGAGACGTGGTTTCAGGATTATATTCGAGTGAAGATGGAGGATGAGTTGGAGGCCGATGTGGAGGTTTTTAAGCGGGATTGGTTTCTTGCGGTCATTGGGCGCGATCCGGTGTTTGATCGGTTGTTGGTGCAGATTATGGTGGATATTTATTCGGAGAAGTTGGCGGCGTTTAATTTTCAGAGGCTGGAAGGGGGACGGCATATTGTGCATTCGATGGCGAACGGGGATGCCGTGAGAATTGTGGAGGAGGCGATTCCTGAGGAGCCGGAGGAGGAGCCTGTCTTTGAGGATGTTGTGCCGGAGGTTGAGCTGGCTCATGGATACGATGGGTCTGGGGAAGAGGAGGGTGCCGTTGGGTGTGATGATGAACGCCGGTCTTATGAGCGCGAACAGGATACGGAGCCGATTAGTGATGATTGGCCCTTGACGCCATCGCCTCCTCCGTCTTGCTCTCCTCAACCTACCGAGGAGACGCTTCCTGTTGAGGAGAAAAGTTCTCTTTCCAATTTGCAGCCCAAAAGTCAGCCCGAGTCCAACGATGAGCCCAAGGATGATGACTTTCTCTCCTGGGGCCCGCTCCGGAAACGGGGTAAGGCAAAGAAGAAAAACAAGAAGCTCAAGATCGTCGAGCCGGAATCTGAACCGAACGCGGAGCAGGTACCCACGGAAAGGTGGCCTCAGATTCGGCACGCTGCGTCTGATGAGTCGTATATTCATGCGCCGCCAACTCCTTTAAGCCCTGTCTATGAGGAACCGACCCCATTGCCTTTGCGGCCGGCTTCGGCGTCTCTTTTGGAGGGAGCTACCCATTAAGTTTGATGATGATATCCCCAAATTGTACATAGTATCAGAGTATTCTGCGTTTTCATTCGCTCTTTCGGGACCTTCTTTGGTTAGAATAAAATTGGGAGAACTTCTGCATTGAAATACAGGACGGACATAGCTCTGGTTGAAGAACCAGGACCCACTGAAATTGCACGCTGGGGTTGTCCACAACAAGATTTCTCCCTGTCTGCCGGTATATTATTGGCGTATACCGTGATTGTGTTATCCTAGTTTCGGCATAGCTGCGCTCCCAAGCACACAACAGTCATGCTCATGCACGAACTCGCAAGCAGAACCACTACTCAGCACTCACGTTATTTTGTGCATTTTGCGAGACTTGAAGTTCCATGCGATAGTTTACTATGTAATGAGCAAAGGTCGTTCAAAACACGCTTTAGTAAAGTAACCGACTCTTACCATTACATTACCAGGGCCGTGGCTATGACCCCGGAACGATGTATAGGGCTCGGTTGTACATTCCAGCAACCTGATCAAACCACACCGGGTGGTGGCCGAATTGCCGAAGATTTACTGCGTAGTACAACGCTCAGCTATGTTCCAGGGCAGTTTTGTACTTCCCCCAGGAGCAAGAAAGCTGTCTACGCTAGCTAAGGGTAACTTAGTGCGGTGGGGGATGAATGGCGCAAGATCGACCTCGATCCAATAGAAACGCCAAAGATACTAAAGAGGGACAGAAGCAAAGTCAAGGCGGCATTCGATGTAAGGTAAGCTTCAGAGCTACGATAGAGGCTTGATCAGGCTTCAGGAGAATTCAAGAAAGCACTATCTATTTCAGATTTCTACGGTTGCTAGGGTTTATTATTACTAAGACATTCCCCGCATCATATTTGAAAGAGCGCTGCTGGAGGAGCAAAAGGGGTGGAGACAATGTGACACATACTTTGGATTTGCGATCAAGGTTCTTCCTGGCATCTTCCTCTGTTGTCTAGACTAACATCTCAAGGGCGCGAGCTATTTTTATGGGTTATTTACGTCAAACAATCGAGAGAAATCGAGAGTGCGCACCGGTCACACCTTGTAAAACTGTTCTGCTTTTACTCCATAATGCCCCTTTTTTTCTACCCACCTTATAAGGGGAGCATGATACGGAAATACACTTTTGGTAATGGAGTATTTTAATATCGCTGCGATGAGGAGCTGTGATTCAGTATGGAATTGTCGTATTTTTGTCTCGTCGCTAAAACCGCATCTCAGCACCGGACAAGCCGCCAATGGTTATGGTTCCTTGATGTCGAGTTCGAAACATTTGGTTGCGTAATGTGTGGCATGGACTCGTAGACGCATCCGCAAGCCACCCGACGAGGGAGGCTTGCGCCATCGGTCAGGATGGAGAGAGCGAAAACGTGTTGGATATCACCCTTACGTCGCAAAGTGGCTGAGACTAGCCCTGCACAATCAACACAGTATTTCGGACGTGTCGTTAGAATATCATTGTGGAACACTTTTTACGGATTTGGGCTAACCCGAGATGTAGAGAATGTACGCGTTTACTTTGCATGTATCTTCATGTTCTCGTCTGATCTCATCCGACATTTCACCATGATCTGTGCCATTTCGTCGGGATACAATAGTAGTCGTAGGAGGAGTAGCAGCAGCAGCAGCATTAGTACTATTCCCACCCATTAGCGGTGCCTTTGTATGACAGCTATGCTCGGTTTTAAATATGACCAGGTACTACCTAGATCCGCGGGCATATGACCATATTTAGTGAATAGGGGCCTTTGTTGAATTGAACAAAGCGCTCGATTCCTTTGATATGGCCCTCCAATACAGGCCTTGTTGCTTGTTTCGTTGGCAGTCTAAGCGTATTCCGATCATCATTTCGGATTACTTTACGCAGTTTACTTCCCTTCCAAATATCTAAAAGCATGTAGCTACAATAGCCCTCTACCGCCAGACTTTTGTTAGCAGTTAGTAAATCGAGAATGTACTCTAGGCTAGTATGTATAATTAATATATAGTTTATGGCATTGGCATAAAGCCACCAATGCTTAATAGTCACGGGATCACGGGACCATATTGGATCTGGTCAATAGTGTCGTCATGAGGATAACAACAATGAATAACCCACTCTCTTCGTTCTTTACTACTAGCATGCATGCCTGAAGACTGAGATGCGTCTGGTCTGTACTTGAACCAACGAAACTTTCTCGAGGAATCCGAGGTGAAAAGGAATATACTAGACAGTTCAGTACGGGTATACATTTTGCTTCCTGCAAGGCCAGCGTGGAATTGCCCTCCAAAAGAGTTCCCAACGCAAAGCTCAACTAGCCTAAGGATAGAAAGATGGCTGGAAATTTCGACAAGAATGCCTGTCTCTCCCTTATTCCCTTATGATGCGCAAGTTTATGCAGGCTGCAGAAGACCCTCGACACTTGCCGGAAACGACTATTCCAGCACCTTTTGAAGAAGCATTCTACTTCTTTTAGGGAACTCTTATGGACCGCTAGACACTTAAGAGAGGTTTGGAACTATCCTGGCCAACCTGAGCTCTATCTCGCAATGCTTTTCAGATACTATATGCAATTTTAAGGCGATTAAGCGGCAATCGTAGACGGGCCAGACCGCTCGGAAATTATTCATGGTATGGCCTACAGACTTCGTTCACAGGAGGAAGAGTATCGTTTAGCTGTGTATTGAGACCAATATATACAGACTTGGGGGTGTACCATTACATTCCACGATGGTTCGAAGACTTTAGGAAGGACGTTTGTTTGGAATGCGGAGATGGAACTTCTTTTGGGGGGGGTAGACATGAAGGATTGGCTACTGATGAAGAGAGAGTTTCAAATTCTTTATTGGGAACACTAAGATTCTGTTCTGTGTGAATTGAGCTGAGCTGCCAAAGTGCAGTGCTCAGGGTGCTCTACAAACAGTATCAGGAAATCGCATGAAATTTGCAGAAAGGCTGTTGATTAGCACATTACCACTCAGCTGGTAGTCGCAAGAAATGAATGATTGTGCAGCCAATAAAGCTTGAATAGGTGTAGATCACCTATTTTAAGCGGTTTAGATATCGAATTTATGAGTCTGAGTGACTGATATGTAAAGTGCATCCGGCGATGCCTTATAAGGCATTCAAAAAGGGGTACCGACTGAATAAGCACAGCAAACCTTGCATGGACTCGGAGTCAACCGGACAAACAACCCGACATCCGCTCACTGAATGCGCAACCACTGTCAGTGTTTTCTAGGTAGATACTTAGGATCATACAAGAAAAGCACTGTTCTCTTTTGTGTCGAACAAGCTCCTATATATCTCATATCTCGATCCAATAAACCAGTGTTGCTCATGCAAGCCCGCTTGTCTTCATACAAGTACCCAGCGCCAACAGCCTGAGGTTTCTGCATGTATGCCAGCAACTTCCAATGAGATTTTACGGCGGACTGAATCGAGCAATTAGCCAAAATGAAATTTTACCAAGGTTACCAACGGCCACGCACACTGACAATTCCCCAAACTAGTATAGTATTATTGCACCACCAATATCACAGTCCCGGTCAATATCTCACCAGCTGCCTTAGTTCTTATCTTGATACATTTTTTATAAGCATTTTCTTAGTGGAGTATAAGAAGAAAAAGTAAGTCTGTTTCTTCCAGCTAGAGAAAGTATTTTCGGTGTAATAGTAAGAATATAATATAAGTTTATATATATCCATTTTTACTATAGAGATTCTAAATTAAAGTAAACATGCAGATATAATTAAATATATTATTTAATGGCTTCCACAGAGTATTCTTTAATAACTCCTTTAACGAGGAAACGGTTAGCAAGCGGCCCAGGACGGCCGCACTCGAGGCCGTTTTAAGCATCCTGCTAACCGCCCACGGTCAGGTGCGTTTACTTCCACAGCCGACATATCAACTAGATCTCAAAGGTTTTCTAGAAAGCGACGTGCCATCGTTTGACTGAGAACAACGAAGTTGTGGTATTGCTAAGCGAGATGGATATAGCCACTAAAACTAGACTCTACATGAGCGAGCCACTTCCAAACTGCGCACTAGTACAAGGATGAAGAAAGATTGTCTGGATCAATAATGATAATAATGCGGCAGCAAGATATTCCTTTGTGTTGGGAGTTGGTCTCCGCATGTGTTGCGGACGACTTCTCAGAGAGAGACAATTTCATCGTCCAGGTTGAGATACTCCTCCGCCACAATATCCCCCCAGAATTCGTCTGAGACCACCGCCCCCTTTGCAAGTAGCATCCGCCGAGGTATACTCCGAAGGCTAAGTCGATCAATGCATGAGGATTGTCCGAATAATACTCCAACCCGCTCGTTCGGCATCTTGGCTTTCGGTATAATAACGGCAACAGTTTCAATAACCACAGGGCAATTTGTAAAAGCCATAGTAACGCTAACCTGTAGGACCGAACCATCGCTCGAGCGGTATGGATCGTGAACCGATCCCTTGAGATATTCTTGGAAAGAAGCGGAGAGCAGGTCTTCCACAATAATGGTCCGATGGGCTCCCGCATCGAATATCATATCAATCCCTTCAAGCTTGCAGAGAGGGTCGGTGTCGTTGCTGTCCACCCCTCGTAAAACAAGATCTGCACGAACAATAGGAAGGAAACTTTCTCCTAATTTCGGCCGAAGTGATACGTACGGATCTCGAAATTCCGTATTGGCAGCCTCTTCAGCCATCTTGCGGAGACGTTCGCGAGCTGCTGTACTCAGCGGCGGGCGGGGTTCCACCGTTTTTAGATCGATAGTTGTTCGAATTGGGAGACCTAAACCGTTTCCCGAGGGCGATTCCGAAGCTGATAGGCGTGCCATCTCCCGAAGTACTCGACGGTTCCCAGTTCCGCGAGGCATTAAAAGCATCGGTTCATCAATATCGCCGAGGGCTGCTTCGGCAGCTCGGATGGCAGCCCTCCACGTAGTGTGCGCAGGGAGGGTGACAGAAAGTTCATTTCGCTGCCAATTCATTGAGTCGGCAACCTGGCGCAGCACCTCCCTCGGGTGCACGGTTCTTGTGTCATAACTATCCATGGTCAATCTAAGAGGTCGGATTCATTTAACTCCTGCTCAGGGTTGTAGAGAATTGGTAGCTACTTACTGCTCCTGATTAACGTTTTGCCAGTTCCTCTGAATCAGTACCTGCCCACCTTTGTCCTCAAGGCAAAAGCAAACGCGTTTCCTTTCGACAGTAGCTGCCGCTGGGCTACGTCCAGACCAGTGTCGTTTGGCACTGGCCATGGTAAGGTGAGTCAGTAATCGGGTTTACAACCACAACTGGTTCCTAAGGACAAAGGTAGAAGGTTGCATACCTTGTGTCGAGGTGAGCGTAGTCCTTAACTCTTCCTCAATGCAGAAGCCACGTCTGTCTGGCCAACGTCGATGGGCACCGCACAGGTAAGGCAGAAGCAAATAGGTGCCAGAGTGACGAAATCAACTTGCAGTTCTCGGTTGGACAAAACAAACTTGTTTCCCAAAGAAGGCAGGAACGGAGAGAAGACGAAGCACATTGTCCTCGACTGACGCACCTCTGACACACCTGGGGGCTCATACATTCGCAGTTTTGGAGAAGAGTGATTAAAGCGGCTACGATGGCGCTATTCCTAAGAGAAGAGCAATTCAAATGGGTAGTTACGTAGCGTTCTGGGGTACCGTAGGTGATCACCTGACGAACGGTCCCACCTGACGAACGTTTTTTCTATACACCGACTTTTAGGCATAGATTTCAAATCACTACAACTCTTTCATCATGAGCTCAATTGAAGCGGCTTTAGGCTATATCGACTCGTTGGAGCCAGGAGAGAAGATAAATTATACTAAAATTGCTGAAAAGTTTGGTGTAAGCCGACCTACACTATCGAAACGGCACCGTGGCGTACAAGGGTCACAAGAAGACCAATATGAAAGTCAGCGAGTTCTCAACAACCAACAATCCAAAGAGCTTATAAAATGGATTAATAAGCTTACTGATC